TACTACTAATATGTGTCATACTAAAGAAGAGATGGTAAAAAAGGCAGCACAATTGAGGGATCGTCGTAACTGACTCATGAATGAATGCCCCATTACTTTCCGGTTAAATGAGACACAAAGGCTATGTAAAGGTGTGCCAAATGCTCGAGGAAGTATAAAAGTATAAAGTATTGCCAAAATACATGCCAGGAATTCGCAGTCAGTCGTTTCTGATGTATTCGATCTTTAGATTGCGTGGGAGATATACACATTAATAGTGTGTTTAAACTCAACACTATTACGTAAGAGGTAATCAGCTAGGCATCCCATAACTCCACGAAATTGGTCTTTTGTGGCAGGCAAGGAGGATGTTTTAAACACAAAGACAGGTCAATGTTACAGCACAGAGTCTCAGCTTGTACGCTTGTGTGTGTGTTACCAGTGTTGCATGGTTGTTTGATGAGAGTCCAATATTTTACATGAGTTATCGGTGTTATCAGCGTCCCGTGACGTGTGATGGGTATGTGAAGTGTGTGGTAACTGGTATGTGACGTCCGGACTCCGGAGAGAGTGAGAGAAGGCTTGAGTAAGATCACGTTGTGTTGTGCTATCCGATACATGATGTAAGCGTTGAGGTTGATTAAAATATCAAATAGCTGAGCTTACTAATAATGTGTTGTTAGTTAAACGGAGTGTTAAAACCCAGAGAGATACCCTCCAGTTAGCTCTGTCCCTCTATCTCTATTGTTCATGTGTTATCTTGCAGCGGGGGGACAGCAGGGCCCCTATCTCCCAGTTTAACTATGGCTTAGTTTATCTGACTGGTGCTGTGTGTTCCCTGTATTGACGTTACCCGGAAATCCAGAGCAGTGGGCTCCCCCACACTTCACTGGTGTGTTATCACTTGTTATAACACCTCGATTAACTTGGTTCTTCGCCAGAGAACACCTCCTTCTCCTCTCAGGTGCTAAACTATGTGCTATTTAAGAGTTGCACACTTCGTGTTTACAGCCTAATTGCTCTGGTTCTCCTTCAGACTCTACCTCACTTATGCTGGAAGTGCAGAGTGACATGGTGTTGTGTCCCTGATGGGTTGGCTTGATGACGCGCGCGCAGTTTCTGTGTGTAGGATAGCGCGCTTTGTATGGCTTACCCATCACACCTGCCGTATTATCTGACCTTGTCACACATTATGTGTTTATATTGATCTACACCATGCTGACAGGAGCTGGACTTCAGACTTTGCTGATTAGTTGTAACATATCCTCACATATTCGCATATTATGTGGTTAATTATGTGTCGTGATAAGTGATAACACACCCCCTCCCCCCAGATAGCAGCTCGTTACTGCGACTACTCGGGGTGGTTAGCGTTCTGGCAGAGTGTCTATTTCCTTCTTAAAATTTCCCTCTGCAATTATCCCTCAACTAACTATGCTAAGAATGTTGTTAACAGCAAAAATAAGTTTTACAGTTCCAAGGCTTTATATCCCCAAAATCGTGATATAAATCAAGCTGTTAAAATCCGATATGTCCGCCGCATTCTTGACAACAACAATTCTACCTTCATACCCGTTCAAGAACCTTATAACTTCAGCTAATGTATAAACATGACAAGCGAGCTGCAGAGAAATGCAAGGGTTAGTGTTGGGTTGAAGTAAGATGGTGTGAAGTTAAAACTAGTTGAGCATCAATATGTCACGTACAATAATATCATGTTTAGTAAGGTTAGTAAATTAGTAGTCCGACAAGTTAGTCTGTCAGTCTGTTATGTCTCCTAGTTGAAATCCCCTCTCAACTTTTTCTTCTCTTATTCTTCTCTTCATCTGATGTGCCTCCATGCGTCTCTTTTTAACGGGATGTTTGTTTAAATTGGGAAGACGGCTAGTGGATTACTGGGTTATGTAATTGCTCATTATAACCGACTACGCACACAAGTAAGCGCTTAGAATTGAAAGGAGTAATGATCAGACATTAGATACTGTCTAGCACAGCATTACGTAAGTAATAACCATTAATTAAAACATTAACTCTCCTATGTCACATTATATTATAATGGCTTAGGTCATAAATACAGCCACTTTGCTTTTTTTACCTTCTTCTTGTGTAGCAGTCTTCTCTTTAGACTTACTTTAGTCAGTTTGTCAGAGCGTTACAACTTACAAGGGATAATGTACTGGATTTGAGTTGAATTTAGCACTGACCGTCACAAGTGTAATTAAATTGATTTGATTAGCGACAAATCAATGCAATGATTCTTTTCATTTGAGACTGTTTTTCCCAGTTTTATGTTTGGTTGGCTGTCTGGGAAGGTAAATGTCCCTGAACAAGATCACGTGGAGAATGATCATTATCCAATCAAACAGATGCCTTTTTGTTAGATGCTTAAAAAGCTCACAGCTGTAATTGCATTAATGTGTGCGTTCGATCGCGACATGTGAACAACAAAATCATCACATACTGTCAAAATATTATTCGCTTTGTTCAGAAACTACCTTTGATAGACAGGTCACAAAGTTTCCAATTTTCTGACTTACAATTTTTAACAAAACCAGTCAGCCAACACAGCCTATTTTCACTGAGCGGCGGTTGAAATGGTTGAGGTTACCAGCTACGTTACACGGCTCTAAATTCCATCCAACTCCAGAACAATCTACTTACAACAAGATACAAGATACAAGGGCAGGTCTCTCCCGAACGTTGGGATGGCCTGAGGTGCATATCTCCTTTTCAGTAACCCTAAGCCACTCTGTGCCGAAGCACTGTACTAGCTGTAGGGGGTTAGTCCTACGAGCCAGAGAGTGTGTATCACCAGCCGAAGCTGTACCAAATCACAGCTTGGTAACTGACCGTCGGCCGACTTGCATCCGACCGGATTTATCTACTTACTGCGAGTTCGAGTTGTTCGCTGGTGTGCCAAAAACCCTACAACATTCCCCCCTTTACCTGGCTGCATGCCTAATGTCTAAAACTTTAAGATTTATTATTCACATTCTTTGTGATCATATATGGATATATGGGAAAAATCCCAATTTTTGTAAATCTGCAGATAATCAAATTTTGCTCACAGTTATTTATTGTTATGGCAACAGTTACCATTTGTCGCCTCACCATAATATAAAATATTGGGGCATCACAATATTTTTGGTTTTCTTTTTATTCACCTGATGAGAATAAATCTATATAGACTAAATATACACAGTGCAACCGTTTATTTACCATGAGCTCAGTAAAACATAAGCTTGAGTACCTGGTAAATTTCACCCGACACCGTACGTGGTCTACTTAGTATAACAGCTCCATAACAAAATGGTAATATTATAATCAGAGCTCCTAGCTGTGCAGCATTGCAGAATGCAGATGTAAGGTGATAGGTCTAATTTGCTGGTAACACCCTTTTTGATACTCATACAGGATACTCAGAAGGTCAGTTCAGTGCTTATAGAAGCTGTACATGTTTTTTAAAGTTGAAATTTTGCCGACTTTTTAGAATGACCGTAACTTCACACTCTCCCTCACTCTGTCTCTCACTCTGTGTTAGGAGGTGGACAGTCTGAACACATGGCAGTGTATCGTGAAGGGAGTATGTTTTGAAAATAGTGGTGATGACTGCACAAGTGCCGTATTTTCTGCAGTTCACGTAGTTAACGTCATCCACTGCTGTCTACTAAGCAGTGACCTGCTTTGAGTTGGGTGTGGGATGTAAGTGAGAGTTGTTGAGTCTTACTGAGCGTGTACTATCATCTTGTAACTCTAGTTGTGTTATTTAGTTAGTTAACGAAATCCAACAAGTTATAATATATGTGTTGGAGTGCGGTTCGTGGCAGTTGTCTGCTTTTTGTGTGAGCTTTTTGCTATTTTAGTTCTTTGATGGATATATTCTGCCTATCCGGCATATTATCATTTGAATATCCGCATAGCATATTCTTATAATATGATATAACGTACTACATCGTGGTGCATGTACTGCATTTTATCCATTCAAAATAACTTTTCAGTCGCCAAATATTTATATGTTATTGCCCAATATCGTGACCTTCTTCTAATTCAAGACCATTCACCTTCCTCCTTGTGGATGTTCTAGATATTGGGCAATTTAGAATATAAATATTTGGCGACTAAAAGGATGTTGTATTGAGTCAGGAGAATTAAAGATGGTCTGATATCTCACATTTAGGAGGGGAAGTCGCTACATGTTAATTAGCTGATATCTCTATTTTGCTAGCTACTAATAGTTAACATTCATCAAATACCTCGCCCCTCGTGTTATCTTGCACGTGACAATGTGGTATTCATAAAACTAATACCACATCAGCGTTTAAACAATCATCATGTGGTAATAATTTAAGAAGTAGATGGGGCAGCTCGACCAGCGTTACCTCGCCGTATTACGTCATGGACACGTTTTTATTAGGTTATCGATCAGGATTGGAGGGGTAGCATCATGATGTGGTCATAGTGTTGCGAGAGTGGTCGTGTTCCTTGTTTTGTTTATATGTCCTTCCTACTCCACTTTGGTTAAATGATTTGTTGTTTCCTTTGAATCACATAATCTGATCATTTTTCGTCATCGAATGATAGCCTTTTTACGCCCCACGGGTTTCATTATATCATATCCTTTACCTTATACGGTACAGTGGCATAGCCTTTTGATTTTGGAACCATTTCTGTCGAATCATCTTGCTTAATACTCTTCATCTTTATAAGAACGTGCTGATTGCTGATGTTTTTACAACCTTAACAATTGACTCGGTTAAACAATTTGTCTCTTGTTTAAACTTTTAAACCCTTGTTCGCAAGGAATGTTTAAAATTCCTGCCATACTCCTACGATCGGATGCCCCTTGTCCAAAATATGATATTTTGTGCAATGTTTTTCATTGGAGGAACGAGATCTCGTCAGCAAATGCTGTTTGACTATACAACATATTATAAAACTTGGTTTTAACATTTTGATCAAAACACGGGGATCTCTCAATACTCCCTTTTCCGTTTGAAACCGATTAAATAAAGTCATTTATGTAATGAGATTGTGATTATAACGTTTTGTATTTGATAGGATGTCCTGATAGTGGTTGCTCACTTGCTATGTCCCCCCGAGTTTATATCCTTCTCTTCTTCTTACAACCTTTATTATCAGGTAATATTTTGTTTGTATTTTACTGTTCGTATGTGACTTTCCTTAATTCTATCTGAATTGTTCAATGAGGGATACGTTAGTTTATTAATAACTTAGTAACTTAATAAGTTTTACTATTCATCCGGGTTTTTATAACCAAGAAACCATTTGTGGATAAAATTAAAGCACACACCTTATTTTCTCGATTGCCATCTCATAATTGTCAGTCCGGAGGTTGCTAGTCTCCGTGAAACACCAGCTACTTTATCAGTCTGAGAAACCTTGTGTTATATTATAACATCTCCAGTTGTCATGATGTTACGACAATCAAACCCGTACATGTCCAATGTTACTATATGCCAAACCCTATGAATACAGCTTGTATTGTATATTATATTATGTACATTTCAGAATCTTCAGACAATCGTGTTTTCTACACTCGCCCCAAGATAATCAGCAACCCTGACGTGAGTGCTTATTTCTTCTTCCTAAAATATTGTTGTTAGAACAACATCTTTATTTGATTTTATATACACACGAATGACAAGTTTCCGTTTTTGTTCTTAAGAGAAACGGATAAGGTGATAGAGATTGATCAAATTATGTTAGTACACTGCTAGGGCCTCAGGCGGACACATTAGTATTCCTGTTGAAATCACTATATTGAAATCTGAAATAAATGCCGACCCGAATAATGTGCTGAGTATTTCTGTTGAAATTGTTATGTTGATTATAATATATATGTTGATTATATATATATCACCTTAATAACACCAGAATGTGTGTGTGTGTGTCTGTCTGTCTGTCTGTCTGTCTGTCCGTGTGTAATTTCCGGTCGGTTATACAAAAAAAACGGTAAGAGTTACGGGACTGATTTTTTCGGTATAGTGTCGACAAAACTTTGATGAAGCCCATAGGAAATTTTTTTAAAAATCGGCCGATGGTAAGTGGTTTAATTGATGGTTTTGTACCACAAATGTTACATAAAATTGCGTGAGCAGAACGGCAAGAGTTACGGGGCTTGCTCTCTCTCTCTCATTACTGTGTAATATGTTATAGCTGCATTTAAGTAGCGTCATAATTGGATTAGCCCGGAAGAATCGCTGTAATGTTATACCTTAAGCTTATTAGGGGAGGGGGGACTGTTAGTGTTTGGGGTCTGTTTGGACTGCAGAGAGAGAGAGAGAGAGTTCATACGACAATGTTATGCGTGTTTTCAAATATAATATGCGGGTGTGGTGCGGAGTTAACAAGGGTTAATTTCTATAACAATTTAAATAAAAATAGAAAGCGGTTCAAGACGGGAGTGATGAGGTGTAATACTCGGTGTTCAGACCTTATGATCATGGAGTGTGGTGCCTCATGGCTAATAATGACTTAATTATCCACAAGAAATAACTGATTATGAGATTATTGTTTAAGAAACTATTGGGTCACCTAATGCGGGTTTTGACTCAGCGGGTAATTACTCCTACCCTTTTTAACTGCGGCAGTGAAATCCCGGCCGTAGGCCGGGTTACACTAGTATATATATATTTGTGTTGAGATAGTTATGTTGAACTGCCGACCTGAATTGATTGATGTGCTGAGTACTGACACAATGAAACATCAAGAGATGAAGGTGTGACATAGCAACACTTGCTAAAATTAGCCAGAAAGTTAAGAAAGAGTTAAGAAAGTTGAGTAATAGTAGGAAGGTTTCTAACTGCCCCACACTCCCTGGTTTTACTCGTCTAGTTTTAAAACTGACACGAGCCTGAGTCTGCACTGATTTAGGTCTTCTGTCTTCTTGAGTTCCTGAGTCGGATTGCTTTGTTGCATGTCAACGTATTACATAGTGTATTACATGGCGGTGGCTGATGCGGCCGGAAGGTATTATATTTCACAGCGCATGAAAGATACTCTATTTTAGTGTCCATTACCAAATGCAGGTGACTCTAATTGTACCTGAAATACAAGAGTCTAGCCATTACCATTTCCATCTCCTCCTGTCACTTTTAATTGAGTGGACTTTGGTAATATCTAAAAATAGACGCAGGGTCCAGCCCACATAATACCTAAATTACTGTGACAACACCGTCACTAACTCGATCATTGTGTCGGTGCAACAGCAATGTTAATCATGGTTTTGTAATTTGGGAGATGTAAGCTGATAACCAATATACTGCAAGATGCCACTTATTATTGCGGTATAACGCCACTAAGTCACTAATTCAGCTCTTAATTCATTATCAGCTGCGTCTTATCTCAGGAACATATTATGTGATATTCCTTTGTAACAGCAACCTCTGTCGTTTAGTTCATGACATTGTCTGGGGTTGTATCAGAGTGTCTCCCACGTACTTGCTGGGTTAAGAATACTTCAGAGACAAGGCATCTGAGTTGGGCATGGTGGTGCCTTCCTGGGCAGGGTGGTGCCTTCCTGGTATTTTCTAACGGAAACTAGAAGCTGTAAATCCTTGTTTGACATACGCTGTATTGCAAGAATTTCCCCTCAGTTCATAAATAACACTAAATATGAGAAGCCTCAAGTTTCGCAAAATACCTTGTTAATTAACTTAAATTATATTACGCATAATATATATAATATTTTCAGAATGGGGAAGAACTAACGATAGGATTGAAACATAATTCTACCGAAATAGTTCTTTTATTACATAAAAACAGGTAAATCCATTCGCTATGTAAAATATGATATTAAGTTACATTAAGACATTCCACAACTTTTGTTGTATTTTAACTGCTCCATGACAGTTCTTAATTCAACATTGAATGTGGGCAGGGCAAATTGGCTAAGCATGTAGCCTTTGTCTGGAAAGTTAATCGATCATTTGCTCCGCGTTTCTACTCTACACATCACGAACGTCAACATAGGAAGAATGACTTCATGATACTCATTGCTCAAGCATAATCCTTACATTAGGGTAGCCTGGCACCATCTTTCTTCCCTTTGTCATATTGTAGTTTGTCGCGTGTGTTAGCCATGTTCACTTTGGAACGCGCGGCACCGAATCATCTTTTTGTGTGTAGAATTGCGCGATATACGTATTCGATCGCGCGGCGCGTTAATTCACACGCGCTCTATACATGTCGACTGGCCGCATGCTTTGTCTCAAGTTTTGAACATTATCTTCCTAATTTTCTTCCTAATAAACGTTGGTGATTTGAAATTGTCTCTCAGGGAGTTATCACGAACCTACAAAATATTAGCACAAGACGACGACGGCAATCTTGTACCATACAGGAAAGCTCCGCCCTGTCAATACAGTGGACATGTAGTTGGATACAAGTCTTCGATAGCCATCATCAGCATCTGTGATGGCATTAGGTAAGGTTTATTTTACAGGATTCACTTACCTTGAATGTATGGGAACACGTCTGTTGTAAGGTCTGAAAACTCTCACATTTCACCCAGTAAACTGTCACCTCTCGGCTGCAGGAAAAATCACACTACTTTTATTACTTCCCCAGTGGCAAAGTTCAGTACGGTAGATATGTATTCAATATAAAACCAGTGGAGGAAGACACCGGTGATGAATATCATAGAAATGATTATACTGGTTACGGTGAAGATCCAGCAATTCATCATAAGGAGCTGGAAGCTAGGATGAAGAAGTTACATAGACTTTTTGACCCGCCAGTTTATGATAAGGAAATGAACTTTGGTCATGTGCACACAGGTTAGTTTCTGTCTTTTATTCCAACTTGTTGAAGTTAGTTGTCTGATGGAATCTGAATCATGTAGATACCACTAACTAATATTACTCATAAAAATAATGTCTCTGCAGAAAGACATGACGATAAGAAGCATAACTATGTTATAAAATCTCGACAAAAGCGACTAACTTCCTACAAAATGAATCAGACACAAATTATGAAGGCTAATGTTAAGAAACTCGAGCGTCGTTACCTCGAAGTTTCTATCATCATTGATAAAGTTCAACATGAAAAATTAGGTGAGTTTAGTGTCGAAATTTAAGCGTTGTAATTTATTTTTATTTAGTTTAGAAAAAAATAATTCCGATAGATCTTTATATTGTGTGCGATAGCAAAGCAAAAGCTGATTGGGGCTAGGTTATCAAATCCTTTTCATATACTTCCACTATTATTAAAGCATACTTCTAGTTTCGGGATAGCCTGTAGCAGGCACCGCCCGAAATTTCCATTACTTAATTAAAAGGTGTTGATAAGGATTGTTCAGGTAGAAGCAGAGCCAAGACGACCGACTTTGTGGAGGGTGTTATGAACCACATAGGAAATGTAAGTTTATTGTGTGAATATCAATTTTGAAAAACGTTAAACATTCATATTGCTATATTGTTCACATTAAATAGATTTACTGCTGAAATCATGTAACCCCCTGAAAACTGACTTTTAATTTCAGAAATACAAGCCCTACAACATTATAGTAGCTATAGTACAGCTAGTGATATGGACGTCTCGTACTCCTTTTAGCATGCCTGACGGATATACGTAAGTGATCCTGATTGTCACATTTAGAGTATCTTTTCAGACGTTTTATCGTTTTATGTGACAGCCTGTACAGTATAAAGGAAGACTGTTTAATTTAAATAAAACAGTAATTTCACGAACTTCATCTCGTTTAGAACGGTCCTGGCCAACACAGCTCAGTACAGAAGAGATACCTTGATGAACCAGAAAGAGAGCGATATTACAATCATGATCACGTGAGTACTTACCAGGGGACACAAAACATAGAGTCAACTACAGTAATCTCAGTTAACTGCGCACTTCCCCTCCCCTTACTCCAGCCACTCGAACCTTACTCCACTCATTCCATCAGGGGTGTCCCGTTTAATGAAGTCTCTACAATTGGGGGCGCATACACCAACCAAATGTGTGACCCTCTCCGGAGCACCAACATTAACCACGACACCGGCGAAGGGAACAACGTCCCCTATCTGGCTACTCTGATAGCTCACGAAGTGGGTCACGTGTTAGGCATGTACCACGACGTAGACGATGTTAACATGAACGATGATAAAACTTGTGACTGCCCCTGTGAGTGTTATACCTTTCTGTAAAAACTATAACCTCTTCATTCAACTGGTATTCATAATTCTGGAAATTGAAAGTTAAATTAATATTTTTAAATGAGCATCGAAACTGATTCTCTAAGGGAAACCATTCCTAATTTAAACCTCACAATTAACGCACAGGTAGAAAAGAAGATTTCAATTACAAGTCGGGCACGTACGAGATCCCCGAGTTCTGCGGTACAGACGACAGATGCATCATGTATCCCACGATAAACCGTGACTATACTTACTTCTCTCTATGTTCCCGCCGTCTTCTTGAGGAACAATTAATGTTTGTCCACCGGTGCCTTTCTAATTCTCCTACCGAGGTCAGCACCTTTTGAGCGTCGAGTTATTTCCTTTTTCAACGTACGGAAACGTATCCTCAAAAGTATTCCCAAAGATTTTAACAGTCCCGACTTGGCGCCAAAAAAATTCTCTTAATTTATAAAACCGGGCATTTTTTGGAAGCAATATTTAAACAACAACTGTTTGTTTCGAGCGCGAGTTAATTAATAACCTGATGTCCCTTGCTAGGTTGAAGGGGATGGGCCAGTGTGTGGGAATGCTATCATAGAGAAAGGTGAGACATGTGACTGTGGGAGTGAAGAGGATTGTCCTATACTGGATCCCTGCTGTGAAGTGGGGACTTGTCAACTTAAGAACACCAGCAGCTGTTTTACTGGACCTTGTTGCAGTGATACAGTTAGTTCCAGATATTATCAGTCTTATTTCTTGCTGGGAGGTAGTTGACTTTGTTACACCTGCCTGCGTTTTAAATTATAGTTACTAAAATATTGTTTCATTGCTTTACCCACCTTCACAACACTTCCTAACTTCAGTGTCAGTTTAAACAGAAAGGGTCTCTGTGTAGACTTAAAGGTGAGGGTAAGGAATGTGATTTCGAAGAGACTTGCATGGGAGATACTTCTGTGGTAAGTTTAGATAGTTAAATAGATAAATGATACAAACTATTAACTTTTTTAATGCTTATTGCTCAAAAACTCTATTAGATAGTAGAAGTTGAGGTTCCTATCCAATATCTCGTTTAACTATCAAAACTGAGACGAAAATATACCAGCCCAGCAGCTAATTAAAAATCTCCCAGTGCCCGAGAGATACCTACAAACAGAATGGAAGACCGTGTAAGGACGGGAACAGTAGGAAAGGGTTCTGTTACGGCAGTGACTGTCTTACTCTTCTTAGTCAGTGCAGGGTGAGCCTTCTTTAATCTCGGTTTACAGAAATAACTGTAAGTTAGAGCTCTGTACTTAGACTTTCATCCACTGCAAAAGATTACTTCACCTCTCAAATTAAAGTATTATTAATTTATACGAAAGCCTATAACTCTATCTCATCAGATGGTGTTTGGTGAACACGCCTCAGAAGCAAGTGACGAATGTTGGAACGGTAATTTGAAGGGGTACTGGCAGGGTAATTGCGGGTATGATTTTGACGGCATTGATGAGAGCGGCAGAGTCAGCAACTACTATAAGTGTGAAGACGAGTGAGTTGAACCCCCGACATTCACAATATTTTCATTAAAATTTAGCTGAACTTAATCTGTTCGAAAATGGACCCGTCGTTAAAATATGTGTTCCGTTAACCAACGACAAGACTTTCGTTGATTAACGAAATTTTTCCCGTTACCAGGAACAAAAAGTGCGGTTTGCTGAACTGCAAGATTCACAAGGACAATGAGCAATCTGTCAGAGATTTCGTTAAGACGGTGCTTCCTAATGCTAAGACCACTATCGGAATAGAAAACCCTCGGGGCAGTACTGACGCCAACTATGCCTACCGCTGCGCGTAAGTATGATTCATACTCGATTTTTCCGTTCACCCTTTTGTAAAAAGGCAATAGTGAAAGGTTACGAATGGACGTTTTTGCAGAAAAACGTGGATTTTGGAGATAGCAGTAGGTGGGTTTAAATATGGTGTCATTCCGTCCGTTACCATGACAACTAGCGAGCGGTGTAGCTCGCGAGTATTGCTTGCGGAGATGTGATGTATATAGCTAGCCTGTCAATGAATGCGCGGCGCGAGTGTATTTTAATGTATACTATGCAATGTATAGTATTAGGTTATAAGCTCAATTTGTACGTGGCATGCGTAGTATAGTGTACTAATGAGTATCAATATTATAATTATGAAGTGAGCTGATTGGAGCTTATATTTATAGTTATAGTGAACGGAAATCTAGCGTCCGCCAAAACGAAACAACGGGCGCAATTCTTGTTCAAATAGCTTACCTCAAAATTATATTACTCTTTCAAAGAGCCAAGATTCACAGCTTCCAATGTGAAAAAATTCGCTTAATATAACAGTTACCACACAGGACAGTACGATTTGCCCCAAATATGAACAGTAACATGGAGGACGAGGAATCAGACGGATTTGTTGACTTGGGTCAGGTTTCTGATTACACTTCTTGTGGTCGGGGTCTCTTCTGTAAAAGGTAAAATAATTAGACCCACTTTATTTACTTTTTTATGGTCAACCTCGAAATTTATACCGTGACCTTTTTTAATTATGCCCATTGTTAACACAGACTTATTTTGACCTTGTCCACTAATCCAGTGCTGTGTGTACGTACGAAGCTCCCACCACCTGCCCCGCCCTAAACGGTTCAGAGTGCGCAGGACACGGCGAATGTAACAACCTCAACCAATGTCACTGTGACCAAGACTGGGGTAGTGATCTCTGTGTGGACTTCCAGAGCCGAGGAGGTCAGTTCGGAACCCCCCCCCCCCCCCCCCTTAACTTTTTAAAACATGCTCACTTTTTACATAGGTCCCAAAAAGTAAACCTTCCTTTCAGATCTTGTGTTAAAATTAAAATCAGATTTCACCATTAGAGATAGCCAAAGATTGCCAGGAACTGGGTAGGTTTGGTATTTTAACAGTGCGACCCCCCTTTGCTGGGTATTTGCCAGTGCACCCTCCTCAGTGGTATTAGCCGGTGCCGCCCCCTTGTGTATGTGCTGGCACACCTCTTAAAGCTGTTATAAGTTTAGTGCTAGCATGGCTTTTTAGTGAACTCTTATAGTTTGTTTTTACTTGACACTTGACACACAGTCAATATCTCATGATATTCGGATATCTCATGATATTCGGATATTCCCGGAAATGAAAGACGTTTGACTGGAACACGACTGTCACCCCACCCAACGTTGTCCTACTCTTTGTCTTTTCATCATTGGATAGTTAGATTATTTACGGACTTTTTATTATTTAAATTGCATAAACGGTCTGCTTACATTTTGCTTTGTCCACCAAGGGAATCATGAGACGTGTTGACGTCATGAGACGTCAGACAGACAACAGGAAGTTTCAAAAATCTTGACTATTTTTGGACCTTCTATCCCGCCAAAAAAACCAAAGACAATGACAAAGACAATGGCCCATCAGGATGGCGTCATAAAATCTCAAGAATATTATTCTTTGTCGCATGATTTCTCCTTCGCAAAGAGAAGTGTAAACAATTAAAAGTACCAGATGTTCATGACAACTGTCTCCGGACCCAGTGTCTCGTACACTTGTCAAATATTAAGTCAACCACCCGATTAATTACAGACAATTTGAATGGGCTGCTTACAACCTAGACCTCTTTGACCATTTGGGGCTGTTTAAACTTTTATAAACATGAACTCATCATGAAACAAGTTACAGTAATTACAGATACGCCCCTCCAGTTGTTACCTTTAGATCTGATGATTATTATCAACTCACAGCTGCCCTGGTCCTAAAAGTATAAGAGTATTATCCAACCTATAAGTAGTAGCTCGTTTTGAGAAGATAACGAGTCATGCGAGTTATATTTTTACTCTTGGTTACGTTGACAGCCGGACTTGAGGCAGTGGGACTCTCCCCCGAGAACAAGTCTGTCAGGGAAGCGTACAGAGAGTGGCTGGGAAACTTTGCTGCAGAGGAAGAATCTGGTCTACGAACGGGAAATAAGCAGCGGTTCAAGATCTTCGATGCGAACTGCAAGTACATAAAGTCGTTCAGCAAGGATTCCGGTTTTGGGATGGAGCTGAACCAGTTTGCAGCCATGTCAGAGCAAGAACTGGAGAGTTACGTAGGACTGAACATGACAGAGATGGTATCACTAAAAGACCCCGTCTCCCCAGGACCCCTATCCTCTACCCCAGTGCCCCTCTCAAGAGATCATCGCAGAGAGACAGGACTCACTCCTCCCCGAACAGTGGACCATGCCCACTGTGGGGGCGGATCCTGGGCTCACTCCGTGGTAGCAGTGTTAGAAGCCAGGTACAAGGTGCTCACTGATGAGATAGCTCTCTTCTCTGAGCAGGAACTTCTAGACTGTTCCTACCATGACGGCAGGAACTCTTGTAAAGGAGGGTACATGACTGCTGGGTTCCAGTATGTGAAGGACGAGGGACGGATAGCAGACAGGAGGTATTACCCTACCTACGGAGCCTCTGGGTACTGCCATAACAAGGTAATGCCTAACGCCATGACCCGGGCAGATGTAACGGAGTATCGGAGGTTACCAGCTGGAGAAGATATCCTGATGAGAGAAGTATCACTTAACGGCCCTGTTTCTGTGGGGATACGAGCTGATAAATCTCTCTACTTCTACAAGAGTGGACTGTATGATGCTGCCCAATGTTGGGATGGTGATATAAACCACGCTGTTACTGCTGTAGGGTACCAGCCTGACAGATGGATCATCAAGAACTGCTGGGGGACTTCCTGGGGGACTATGAGTGGGTTCGCCTATCTAAGCAGGAGGTATGAGAACGTGTGTAAGATCTCCAACTATCCAGTAACTGTGAACATGGGACTGAGGAGAAGTGTTGAGTCTGATGACTGGTGTCCTCATGTTCCCATGCCTGATAGGGAACCGTGCTGGTCTCATACTGACTATTCGTATGTGTGGAACCAGCAGGTCTGTGAGGCTAATGACTGTTGCTGGGACTCAGCGAATAAGAACTGTTTTGTCAAGTCTAAGATTACCCTCTACGAGAAACGGAACTTTGAGGGTGTTTCAGCTACTTTCTACGGCTCCATACCTGATCTCCAGCCGTATGGGATCACTCGAGTAGCTCACTCCATCAAAGTACATTATGGCAACTTCATAGTCTACACAAAAGAGAACTACGGAGCTGAGGGAGGATCCTGGGTGAACTTCTCCTGGGTGTACTAGAGCCGGGGGAAGGCTATCCTAATCTAGATGACTACAGTATGTCCCACGCAATCTCTTCCATCAGAGCGCTCTCCTCCGGACGTGACGTCATCACACTCTTCACGAACACACAGGCACGCGGTCCTGCACGTGCAATTTACAAGAAATCTTACTGGGTCGGCAGAGAGTGGAATGATGAGTTCTCATCTGCCTTTACGATGGGACAGTGGGAGGTGTGTGATCATGCTAGTTTCAAAGGGGACTGTGAGACCGTGTTTAGTGGGATTACGAGGAGTTTCAGAAATCTTAACGACGAAATTAGTTCCGCTAGAAGTCTTAATTAATCATTGGAGTGTTCTTTGATATAAACCTCGATATTTATATTCGAGCTCTCGTTTTAAATAATTAAATGTAACATCATTCAGTTGAACTTGCCATTGATATTGTTTTCCTTTGTCATCCTTCTCATGTCACCTGTGTTCAAAGCAGTGTAAACAAGTTTGTTTAGGAAGTGGAGCATGTGTGCTAAGTGCTTTCTCTAGTTTTGAGTATAAATCCATTATAATGTCATGTGTCACAGTCACTAACAGTAACACCCTACCTCTCCCTCAGTGTCAGAATACAAGACGATAATAATAATCCTGTGTATAGCTGTGGTACTGGTTCCGCTGATAGTGGGCGTTCTTGTCTTTGTCTTCAAACACAAGTTCGATATGAACAAAATGAAAGAAGAACAGTCCAAAATGTAAGTAGCGAAACGTCTGTAAACTGAACACTGATTAACTGTTCACTGAGATCGAATACTATAGATACGATCGATCAGTAAATCCATGTAAAAAACATAATTTCGCTGTGGGATAATATAATGGGTGTTTGATTAATTAGTTAATTGATTAATTAAATGTTACCGCTGATTCTGTGAAATGATCACGTGTCCACACTGTAGTTACAAAGGGCTAAGACGGTTCAGCTCCCGAGCCTTCAGTCGACAAGGTTCCACTTCGGACAACTCCACTCTCGGTGTTAACGTCAAGATGCCCTCCGTGACCAAGTACAAGAGGTAATTCACTGATTCATGTGTTTGATCATCTGCATGTTTTAATAAACTATAGTTTATGTTTAATATTATATTAGTCAATCAAACAAATGGTAGCTGTAGTTGTTGCTGTCAAGCGCGCTGCTAAGAAAAATAATATATCCTTGTGTTTGAACACCGCTACAAACCGCCCCAATGTTCACACGGCTGCCCCTGCAGCAGAGCGATAGCACCGCTGGACAAGGCCCCACGTGGCACTGTTATCGCTAACCCCAACTCACGTGACAAACACGTGAAACCAGCACGTCCCAGCAATGCGCCCACGTGCAATGGCAAGACTGATCACAGCGCAGGCCCTCGGGCCAAGATCAGTTCTTTCCTTTCTGGGCTAAGGTCAGAGAGAGTGTGTGTAAAGCCCCGTGTGCCTTCGTGTGCCGATCAACTGTGTCTTATCTTGTTTACCTCTTATTCCATGTGTCTTTTTTACTGTTTGTGATATCCTTCCCACTTATTTTCATTTTTCAACTGTTATTTAATTTTCAGGAGTTTCAGCGGTGAGGTTGTCATCGCAATTTTCGACAAAATTTATCGAAATTTTGTTCACAGCATGTGAATGATCTCGGTGGCGAAAATCCTGCCTTTTAGCAATGGCGGAAATTTTTAAAAACGTCGGTATTTTTGCAATAGCGAAAGCCTCAAAATTTCTCGTATAATAATGGCGATGACAACCCCATTGGTATTAGCATGGGCCATTTCTAGGCTACATCTTTTGAATTATTAAACTTTTGCTTTATTAAAACTATCTCTGTTTAAAATGTCTCGTCATTTTACAAATTACACCACCTTTGCCTGGAACATAAGCAGATAAGAGGCCGTGTAGTGAAAGTTAACAAATAATGACTCCGAGCTAATTCCTCAGCTACATCGAATATCTGCCCGTTGACGGTGGAGTAAATACCTTAGTTTGGTGAGGGGCACGATCGTGGCGTACCCTTGAAGCACATTTCTCTTTTTTGTTCTCCATCTGATCATCTTTATTTCAGAGATACCTTGAAGATTAAACACTGAATAAAATTTAGCTCTATTCTAACGATCTCATTTGTTCAGGGTCCCTAAGTTAGAGGTTCCAACAGTCACAGCCAAGCCGGCTAAAGCCCCTAAACCGAACACTAAACCAGACAACAAACTTAACAACAAACCCAAGAAAACAGAATTAAGAGTGCCGCCACCACCACCACCTGCTGCCGCCAAGTCTGCTAAACGTTTTGGAACGACTCCTAAACCAACTATCAGCTTATCTCCTCTCAGCTCAAATAATTCCACCCCTAACTCTAGGTAGCTAACAAGAGTTGACTTAAGATACATTGACTTCTCCATCATGTTATGTAGTCGAATCTATTGATTTTAACACAAGAAACCTCTCATCCTTTTTTTAATTTTTTAATGAACAAGGCAAGATCCCTGATTTTCTGATATGGTAATAAAAATATCTCATTACAGCCAGACGAGGTTGAATGGAAGTAGTAACTGGGGTCCACCCCCGGTACCCCCTCCCCCAGCTCCTGAGGCTAAAGCTGTTCTGAGGAACGCAAGAGAGGGACTCCGGCCGGCTCGATTGGACGACAGAACGTTAGTTTTATCTTTATCTTCTTCGCAATCTCCTTAAATCATCAGTTCTACTTGTGTCTGTGATTAGGCATATAATACTGACAGCTACTACCAGTTTATTTATAATACACCTGAGACCAGATGCATTATCTCACCTGTACTCACCACCAGGCAAAGTGAGACGTTTAAGAACGGTGTGAATATTCCTCAGAACACCCTGTCTGAGAAGCCAGTCAGCGACACCAACCTCACCAAGAAACCACTCCAGCCACCCAAACTGTTAGCTGGCCGGTCACGGGAGAGCAAGAAACTCCAGATTTCCGGGCCGACCGGGCAGAACTTGCATGGATTGGACGGCAGACCCAAGTCGCTTGTTGCAACCACTGACATTAAACAGTAAGTCATATTGTTCATTTGTTTCATCTGTAAGACTTTAAAATGAAAATATACGTAAAAGTAAAAATTTCCATTAAAATAAACAAGTCCGTGCTCTTTAATAATTTAATAGTTGACAGTAGTTGTAAACATTACCAGATGTCCTACGACTAAATAACTATATAAGTGCTGTTAATGGACAACAGTAAGTAACAGTTCCCTGCACAAGCACACTGTGTTCTTGTGTTTCTTGTTGTCGTGCTATTGACTAGTGCTACTCACTTACTCGCTACTCACTTACTCCGCTACTTATTTACTTATCCTGCGTGTTTGCTACTTTGTTCTGGTTTAGGATAAGTAACAAAATATATAGGCTCGATACCTGATCTCGGTAAATTTGTTAGGGCGATACTGAACTATTCTGTGGAGAGTATGGACAGGTATATTGCAGGCTTCTGTTTGTCTCTTTCAAGTCTTTTTTTCACTGATTATCTCCAAGAACAGTGTTTGAATTCGGCATTGATTATTACCAAGATCAGTGTTTGAATTCGGCATTGATTATTTCCAAGATCAGTGTTTGAATTCGGCATTGATTATTTTCAAGATCAGTGTTTGAATTCGGCATTAATTATTTCCAAGATCAGTGTTTGAATTCGGCATTGATTATTTCCAAGATCAGTGTTTGAATTCGGCATTGATTATTTTCAAGATCAGTGTTTGAATTCGGCATTAATTATTTCCAAGATTATTGATAGATCTGCGTGCTAAAATTAAGATTATTTTTAAACGATGATTGCAGAGTGTCAATTTCATGTAATTTGTTCGAGTTCATTAGCTTTTGATCCTATTATCTGTCTCTATACAGTAACATTGATCCGTTATATTTGAGCCACCATTCAGAAAGTCACTTTTTTCATAAAATTTTATAAAATTCAAGCAAACAGATTCCCTAGTCCAGATTCCCTTAGATTTTAACACAACAACACCTGATTCCTTCCCTAATTGCTGCTAATTACAAAATTTATAATTAACATCAGCAGACGGAGAATTCCCAAGCTTTTTTGTTAAACACAGTTGCTCTCAGGTCCAGTGACAGCATCAACACAGTCAGCTCTACTCGGGCCCTGTTCGACCCTAAAATCAAGAAGAAGGCACCTTCAAGGTGGAACTAATATTTCCGGAACGGAAGTTAAACTTCCTGCTGGTGCTCACCACTGTAATATAGTCAGAGTCCGATGATTGTGATCACGTGACCAGTAACAGAATAAAAGACTGAGATATGAACTCTGAGCTTGAATACGAGGCGATTATTACTCATATTTGTCGATGTTCTTTGTAAATGTTGTATCTTATTACTAGGATTAAAAGGTTAAAGTCCAGAAGGTCCAAACTTTAAAAGCGATGTTGGGATTGTTTCGTTATCGAAACAATTTGTAGTTTGCTGTTGTTATGGGTTGCACAATGCATATTAAAGATCTCAATTATCTAATTTTCTTACCTGAAGAATCAGAGGTCTATGTTAGATTCAATTAGATAGCATAATCTTTGTGTATTTTTGTATTTATATAATTGATGTTGATTGAGGGTTCAGGGTTTCCAGAATTCTAACTCTTTTATTATTCTTTTATACGTCTTTTAACCAAAATATTAAATAAACACTAAAAACAAGGTTTATTTTTATTCAAGATAATATATTTTAATTTTCTACGCTATGCTCATATTTATTTCGATAGTGATGGAATTTCAATTGTGAACTTCATAAAGTTTGGTGTTTGCCGATGAATAATAGTTGTAATGACTGATTTAGTTAAAATGAATTACTGGTTTACTAGGTGAAATAAATTACCGATTTGATGGTGATTTATCTGAAGATACTGATTTTCTCCACTCTTTTGTTAGGAAATGGTGTATTCACACCATGGTGGAGGTTTGTATTTCAGGCATTTTGTACACTAAGAATTATTTTGTTCTTGTGTACTGGCAGGTTTGGGAAGGGAAATGTTGATGAAGGGGCCTGTCGATGCCTTCTTGCGTATCCCTTGTAGTATTTTCCTTACCCCTATTGATACTTTTTGGCTGATTGAACATTTTTAACGAGTTTGTTTTTAATTCTGAATTCTGATAATAATATGCGTCTTTTAATTTTCAACAACGGCAAAAGTTATTTTTCCATCAACCCATGCCAGGATGGCAAGTTTCCATAAACGATATTTTATGATCGGCGCCGATAATCGTTTATTGAGCGCTTTTTCGGCGCTTTTAAAAAAAAAACCGTTTACAATCGCTTTTTTTACGATTATAAACGGTTAAAAAAAAATCGCTTATAATCGACTATAATTGATGTCGTAATTCAAAAAAGCGCTTTTTTTAATTTAAAAGCGCTTTTAAGCGCTTACTAGCGTCGCTGAGCGATTTGAAAGCGGTTTTCCAGTAGGATTGGCGCCAAAAACGGGTGGATAAGCGGTTGGCCGGATAAGCGATTCGTAGGCGCTTTTTTGAACCATTTATAAGTGATTATAAGCGCTTATAATTGGGGTGCAATTTAGCTGTTTGTAAAGCGCAAATAAAGCGCTTATAAGCGCTTTTAAAATTGAGTCAGGAAAACGCTATATTACATCTTATAACCGCTTATAATCGATTATAAGCGTTTTTTAAGAAATCGCTTATTACGGCTAATTCATCGCTATTTCACCGCTTTTACCGCTTTTCCTATCATCCATGGCCAGGTGAGCAGGAATTAAAAAGCGCTTATAAGCGCTTTTTCGATGCTGCCCCTGGCCCTAGCCTGGTCGGAACGGGGTAGTGCCCGGAATTTAAAAGCGCTTATAAGCGATTTCTCAATTCCCCTTAACCTGGTTGGAACTTTCATGTGCTTTTCTGAGCAACCTGGGGTGCACCGGCAGAGTCAGGATTTAATGGCGCCGATCATAAAATATCGTTTATGGAAACTTGCCTAAAGGATTAAATGATCTAAAATTAGGGCTTTAAAGTTAAAATGAGAAAATGTGGTTAGTGCAGCTTGCAGAGGGGCATGAAAGTTGGTCATTTGATTTGAGTTTTTCTTGATATTGGTGATGGGAAAATTACTTCTGCCTTTCTCGGAAAATAAATTACAAATCATGTCTAACCAAAAACAAACTATTAATAATAATTGAGATACTTACATAAATTACTTTGTAAATAAATACTGAAATATCACATGAAAAAGTAATGAAAAGAATTGATTTTAAATTAACAGTTACCTTCCTAGCAGCAACTAATTCGTCAAAAATTTCTGTATTTATTTTTTGGGCTCTTGAAACCTCAACAGTAACTCATAATGTTGAAATATATGTTCAACTTGGCAATTTCGTGCATACTGCATATTATAAAGGTTATCTAGTTTATAAGTGGGAACTCAATTTAAAGCTGTCATACTGAGCAAAAATATCGTAAAGAAATAATATGGAGTCCATAACTTTCAATCCAAGCGTTTTTACTTGACAATAATTACAAAATAAACTAACAATTCAACAGCGAGTAAACAGCCATTTCGAACGAGAAATTAAGACTGTTGGATACTATCGCATCAATCGGAGAGGAGATGGTTTGGGGTCGAATTGTATGTTCATGACGGACGAAGTTCTCTTTTTGTTAGGGAACCCAAACGGAGATTCCGAGGACTTGTTCGGTGATTTGTAGGGTGTTTCCAGTTTTTTAGAGGAAGATTTGAGAGCTGAGGATCCATTTCTGTCGAGAGGGTTAACTTTAAGCTTGACTTGATCGATGTGTCGGGATGTTAGGGGTTCAGGAGAGTGACTGGGGTCTTGTCTGGGCGCAGGGACCTCTCTGGACAGATCGTTCCAAGGACAGTGTTTCTGGAGAGGTGATACCTGGAGCATAGTTGTTACGGACGTCCTGGACGAACTTTAAAAAGGTGCCGAACTGGACGAATTTTTTAACGAAATAGACGAACTTTAACCGAACTTATAGATTATTTAGATAACAATGATAAGTTGTGAGCTGTTGCTATAATTGATGCTTAATTGTAATCTGTGAACCAGCTCTGTTTATATTGAAGTACTAGTCATGATCTGTTGTTGATCTAGTTTTTTTTTTCAATACAAGTATGTATAACTATCTAACTGTATCATTTGTTTACAAGTGTAATAGTGATCGCACCTATACTAAGCCATTCATTATAAAATCAAAACATATGCCAAGAAAATTTACGCAACGAATTTTCACGAATTTTCACGAATTTTTAAAAGGTGCCGAACTGGACGAACTTTTCGCATTTCTTCGACGAACTTAACAACTATGACCTGGAGTGAATATTGGGGTTCAGTTTGAGATGACATGTGATATGTGACTACAGCTACGATTATATTTATCGTAACTACTTGGATATCTTGGTAGATCATAAAACCTTAATTTTTAATTACATTAATTTATTTTAACTTGCAATTGTAAAGGGTTAGGGATGAATGACTCACTGGTGTAACAGGTATTCGCTCAATACCGAAGAAGGGTTGTTTGCTTTGTCTCCAACAGATTGTCCTGTCTCTGTTGTATCTCACATATCTGTTACCGCTGCTAACTTCCTGTATTGCAGCTTATTATATTTGGTTTTATGTCACATATGACTGATGACACAGCAGATAGATTAAGGGGAAACTTAACCGTGTACAAATAATCTTTAAGTATATCTATTGATCGTGAGGGTATTTTGGGAAAATTGTATAACACTGATGGCTGAAAGAAGAAAGCAAAATTTGTACTGCGATTTAATGAAAAATTTTTTTTTAATAAAGTGAAATGAAAGTGTGAGTCTGTGAGTACGAGTTTGTACCTGAGAATGAGAGGCCGACTTCTCGTGGTGGCCGTTATCTAACTTGACAACACAGTTCTTCTCCCGCTGGGAGAGAAGAAGAAGAGACTTGAAGTAGCTGCAGTTTCTCTCTAACCGCGGAGTACTGGTAGTGTCGTTGACTGAGGGTATGGGGCTGCTGGAGCATGTGGTGCTCTCTGAACTGAAGGGGTTGTCAAACGAGCCTTGTACTGAGTCATCTCTTAGGAGTCTGAGGATGGGCATCATCAGTCAGAATGGAAAAAATGTCTGAGGATGGAATAAATGAAAGCGGTTTCCTAAATAAGACTTTTATAGTCACCAGTTAAAGGAGATATAAACTCAAAGGAGTCTTAAATGACTGCCACGTGGGGACTGGGGATCGGACCACGTGTTTTTACTCCTTTTACTAACCACGCCATCACCCGGAAATTTAATTCCATTAATCGAGAAGATGCACGGAAGTCATGACTTATCTAAGATTCATTAAAGACATGACGGTCGATGAAAGCTCCGTTTGTAAATTGTAAAAATCGTTTGATTACCGGTCTTGCAACGTGACTTGAAAAAATATTAATTGTGTCCAATAAGTCACACAAGTCAAAGTACATGATAAGTGGAATTAATGTTGACTTACTCGGACATCAGTCGCATGATCATAACCATGATTGATGATTGAAGCGGAAAAACACAGTCGTTTAAACAGAGGAGAAAGTGGAATAGTGCGGTGGATAATTGCTGAGACAAGGAGCATGACGCTCTTAAATAGGGAGCTCAAAACCACATGACGCGAGCAAGGTTGTTTAGTCTGAACTTTAGACAATACAGTATTACGTAAGGAGGTGAACAAGCACTGTGCAGCACTGCCAGCTGTTCTAGAAGGATGTTGTGCAATGTGCAGTCTGGCGGTAAAGTTCACGTGTCACGAGGAGGATGACAGTACTCCTGATAGATAATAATGTGTCGTGATGTAGACATAACGATAAATCCGGCATGCTTGATGCGGTTATTGTGAATATTTTTAGTAGCTTGTGAGGATTTTAAATTATTGCTTTTAGCTGATCAATATGTGACAATGCAGTGCTTGTAGTTGAGTACATGTGGCGTAGGTAAACGCCTTGTGCGTGCTTGGGACTGCATCAAGGTACAATGTACATGTTACTTCAGGGGAGAGAAGTATCGCACTCAATAGAGTCAATAGGGCAATTAATCGGCATAATTAGCTCAATTATCGGCCGATTGACGTAGAGAGTGACGACTATGATCGTTTTCATCAATTCCTATTGAATTCTATCGTAAGTCACTTCAAAACGGAATTGAACAGATTTAAAATAACCATTCACAATTCACCAATCCAAGTTGATGAATATTGAACATTTTACATCATCTGTGATGGTGATAATTCCAGTCAGATATAGGAAATCCATTGTTCCTGTTGTCTGAACGAGATGACTTAAGTGATCTGCCGACAGACTTTGTTTCAGCTCAGACTCAGCTTAGTCATCACTCAGTGCGTGGCATGTCTCACATTCAGTTTAGAGTTATACTACCACACTCCACAGTTGCAAGCTTTGTCTCCAATATAACTTAGCAGGCATTGTTAGAGTTTGCAGGCACAAAGTTCACTTTCTGTAGACGAAGGAGATTTTCCGGTCTGCCAAGTTTTTAGCTAACTTGACTGGTTATTGTTAAGCTCTTGCCAAATTTGGCAGACTCTTATAGTTATACAATCTAACCTAAGAAGCTCTGTCAAGTTTGAATTGGCAGCAGCAAAATAATACGGCATGTAGTACTAGTATGCCCTGCCTCACTTTAATATTTTTATAATTATATTGCCAACTGTTTCCGTAGAACTTCAACTAAGCTGTCAATCATAATGTGGAAAATTCTGCCAAAAGCCAAATAAAGGTGAGTAAAGACTGAAACGAGTAAGACAGAAAAATGATGAAACAAGTAGGCACATTACAATATAACCTCCAATATTTACACCAGGATACTAACTTGAAATGAGTTTCGTTAATAACGAAGGTGCTAGGTAAGGGCCACGGTGTGGTCAGATCTTCAATCAGTCCCGAACTTTGTGGGTTGGGGTTGTAGTACGTCCTGAGCTTCATCTTTACTCGGTACTTCTAGATAATTCGAGAAGTTTTGTTAAACTTACATTTTAACATTTAAGTTAAAATCTAACCGTTGTGATCGAAAGGATTATGTTGTTAATTTAAGTAGCAATCATATTTAAATAAAATCTATATAGTTAATAGTCAAAACTAAACTTTAATCAATCACGATTATTTTTAAACATTTAACAAGATAAATCAGTCGGCCGCGTCAATGTATAAAGTTGTTTTGTCTGTTTTACAAGCTCAATTATGATCAAAAAAGAAAACAGTTTCGTTTTACGATTCAAACGATTAGCCGTTAATTCAAAATGAGCTCGATTCGGTAACGAAATTTTTAAACAAACGTTGAAGTAAATTGTATGCAGTACAAGCTTGCAGCTAGCTGCTGATAGTCCGATTTGCTCTGATTTGATCAACTTTAAACTAAAATCTTTTCAAGCTAAGCATCTACTTTACAGTTGCGGTTAAGAAACAAAAAACACTGTGGAGAAAGCTTGTGTCTGCACGCGGCCAACTCCAAACTTGATCCGCCACAATCAATCCTGAATCCACAAGATTGAACAATAAATTGTGTAGGAACTATACCAAGAAGTTTGTAATTTTCACAGAAAATGGCAACAACAATAATAGTATTCAATATTTAAAAATAGTTACTGCTGAATCAAGGGCTATGCACAACAAGCCAATAAATTGGCACAACTGGTACTACAGCGGTTTAAGAGTGGTGCCCAGTTTAAACGAGTTGCATGCATGTTACTCTGTTTGAAGCCTATACGATAAGAAATAACCGCTTTGCGGCTTTTAACTCGCCTGTCTGCAGATTCAACGGCAGGATAGCTATTAGCTGGCCACCTGCACAAACATTGATAGTGAACAGTGCACCGCTACACCATCAAATGTATGTGATCTCTTTAAAGTCATGAAATTAACCGGAGGCTCAGAATAAATCGAATCAGCTTCTGAAGTCGGAGATAGGTAGGCACCACATTACTTGATACAGTGTATTGGACATGAAATGTAAATTTAATATGCGATCAATTCAAATGCTCCAGTATTATTATCGTATTCCTAAATCTACCTGGTGGCAATATAAACTAAATCTGTTCGCATTAACAAGTTGAACTTGAATTTTAAGTATTCGCAGATTTCAACAAATACAGTCCCAGACTTTAATGAAGGACATTAAAGTTTTAACTATTAATAACTGAACCCTCTAAAATTAGCATTCGCCAGAGCAAGCAAATGCAAGAACCGTCGACCAACGACTATTTGACAATGCCAATTTATTCCTAAACTGTTGGTTATAAATGGGCCTGGGCAATGGGCATGGGCATTGCTGTTGAGTTGTGATACAAATTAAAACATCACCATCGTGGTCACTCATGGTCGCCGTCCTCTAATTAGCAAATACAGCTATATTTCTATTCAGTTCAATACAGTATGGTATCATAAATAGTTATTTTAGATTTTTATGAGAATGATGACCGACAATGATGGGCGACATCTGTCCGACAGCGACATCTGACCGAATCAGAAAATAGGTTATTCGGACAATAGTTTATGTCAGATCCTGGATGATGATTAATCACTCTACACTCGACTGTCACGTGACTTTTTCAACTCGTTCTCTAGCTGGTCCTGAACGACTATTCGAAACCCTAACCCTCTAATCTGATCCCAACCCTAACCCTAACCCAATCCTTAACAAAAGCATATGCTGAAACCCTAACCCTTACGAGAAATTGGACTAACTTCCTTATACGGTCATATCACGTGATCGAGACAGTTTTTCGCCAATATCTCGTCAGGGGAGCATTTTAACCCTATGTCATAAGTGATAAGGGGTGATTCGGAATCAGCGTCCGAAAATACATCGATTGAAGTTGGTTTCAAGTTCAACTGTCGGGGGCCCTTTTAGAAGTAGAACAATCTCGAAGATCGACTGTAGAGTGATTTAGCACGCTCGTCGGATCCTACCGTACGATTTTCTTGGAACTTTCCATAAAGTATGGTGGTTATAGGACGGATAATCTGTGTAAGTTTGGACGAGTTTCTATGTGCCAAATTTGAGATATCACCTTAAACACAAGAAAATATCTCCAATTCGGTGGTTTGCAGTGGTTCCAAGGCATATATCTGGAGATCCAACGATACGATTTTCTTGAAACTTTCTAGATAGTATTAGATAGCTTTAAGACAAATGAGTTGTGCAATTTTGGGTGAATTTCTATGTGCCAAATTTGAGACATCACTTCAAACACAAGAAAATAGTGCTGTCGGACAGATGTCGCTGTCGGACAATTTTGCCCTAAATCAAAAACATAATTCGAAAGTAAGGCAATTTTTTAATCTTAAATCTTTTTCAGCCTTTAAGGTGACGCCTAAAACCATACCCAAATCCAAAGCATGACCGAGAGGTAAGTTTTTGAGCTGAGCATGAAAAACGTTCTCTAAAACAAACGAAAATAGTTACTATGACTAAACGATTTGGCAGGATCACCGTCCCAGCTAACTCAAGAGTATTATTACCTAGCAGGTGTAGGAGCTCGTAACTTAATCCCCGGAACCTAACCCATTTAGGAGGTCGTGCCAAAGTTATGACATTAGCCTCCTCCAAAGTTAATGTAGTTGTAATAAGGTTTGGTAATGCGGGAGTTGTTCAGTTAGTGTCACTCGTCAGGTTCATTAACCATCATGACTTAAGGTCCATGTCAGATATATTACGGCACTATATAGGTGTGGAGGATTTACCCCAATATTCTAATTCATATCACGTGGTATTTCTTTACAACACTTGTTAGCATAACCAGGATCCAGGTTTCTTGGACTTAATAAAATCAAGCCCCCCCCCCCCAGCCCTTTTGGTTTTAGAGGTATAAAGGATGATCTATGGGATCAAGATTTAACGATGTTTTATACACAGACCTGCTGTGTTGCTTAGAACCTATACTATAAGTAAAATACCCCAGCTAAAGCGAACGTAGACCATGTAATTATAATTTAAAATGGTTTATTAACACCACAACAATGTGCATTCGTATTTCGTCTTTCGTAGTACCATGAAACTGAAAGCAATGCAAGGGAACAATAAAGCTTCAAATCAAGCATATCTGACTATAATTGTAAAAATAGCTCATTCAGTATTCACCCTCACGGCACAACACTGCTTGAGCGTATCACGGAATACTATAGCTCGCAGCTCATACTATGGTTCATGAAATACAGTCTAAGATTTGAGACAAGGTGTCCGTTAGAGCTGCTTTATAGTACTGACCAACACCGAGATATCACGTGACAACCAGATATTACTCCTACTGCTACTACTAGATCACACCTTCCCTGATTAAACGTGTCTTCCGAGCCAGCTCCTCCAATAGCAACCAGCTAGCTGTGTCACGTGGTTTAAAATACTTAGCTAAAGCTGGGCATAAAAGTGAAAAGTTTTGAAAAATTAGCATGGATAATCGATATCGGTCCGTGAAAGTCACGTAGTGATTCATAATGGTCAAGTTCGGAAATGAAGCAGATGTCAAGCCAGACGAGCCCGTAAACCAGTCGTTGAGAGTGATCATGTTCAATATTGCCATGAACTAGAGTAAGCTGGCCCTGGAGCACGACAACTTGGAGCAGGTTTAATGAGAAGTTACGTCAAACATGCCAAGGTTATTGAAATTAAATGACGATTTTCATCTGGGATCAGCCAATTTTCCGGCACTTAGTGAACGTTAACGGTTAATGGAATTTATTGGAATTTCGTGTACTCGCTAAAAGCGGGGGAGGAATCCAGTAAATTATTATTAGAGTTGTGGGCATGCATTCAGATGGGGGCCTTCAGAGGGGGAGGGTCATTGTTTACATTTGTTGTCGAGCTGGTGATTTGCAAAGTCCAACTCAAGATATGCAAAGCTGATTCATAGTTATACTAAATTTCTATATTAGAACCGCTGTATTGTGTATGATTCCCGGAATTGGTGGCACTATTGACGTAGTTCAGATATATCATATAAGTTATTATTATCGAGGTGTTAACACTAACAGGCAATGACTGAGCCCCTAATATCATTGATGCCATCAAACGAGCTGGTGATTGCGTATCACGATTCACGGATCTCCTATTACTAAATGAAGTGGACAAAAAAAACGCTTTTTTTTTCTAATAATAATTACGAAACTCTAGAGCAAATAACGATACACAAGAAGGTTAAGTTACATTTATTCTTAGCGTTAAGTTGGTAATTGGTATATAAATATTAATATAATATACAATCCATCCAAAAGCTTATAATATAATTTACAATCGTTGATAAATGTCATAACTCCTAAAACAAAATATTAACGAACGGTCTCAAATTTCCTGAAACTGAATGTTAAAATCTCTAAACTCTCTAATACGAGTAGGTTTAAGTAATTCCAGAAGGTCAGTGGTCACGATCACTGACCATTTGCGTTGGTGAAGCTGATTTGGGTCACTGACAGCACGCATAGAATAATTTAGTTCAATAAATATTTACAATTCAGCAAGCAAACAACATTATACAAATTTCAACTAACTTAATCTAATAAAAATCTGAATCTGAAAGTTATATTCAAAGAATTATAATGCGAATATAGTAACGTCTATAAATATGATAATAAGAAAGTAATGAATTAGACCGGGTCACGGTAAAGCCCATGGTGATTTTCTTTGTATACATTATAATTCATCAGCAAGTATCGACGAATATCGTCTGAGTTGATAAACTATCAGCCCCTCCAGAAAACTAACACTATAAGTCCGATTAATAAAAGCAAAGAGTTCAAACGGACCCTCTCTGATCCTGATTCGACATCAGAGCTCGCTAGCCTGATCTTAAAAGAAGTAGATGTTGGAGTCTTGTAGTGGGTCTGGGCGAGGCCGCTACTATCTACTGGACCTGCAGGTCAACTGGAATTACAAGTCTGATAGAAATTTTGTTGGAATTTAACGGTATAAAACTATTCTGGGCGGACGTAACGTAACCAAGTAGAGATTAAATATTGATTTTAACGAAATGTAGTTATCTGAACTCCGGACTGACCCATGCCGTGAAACAATGTCTGAGTCTTCTCGGGGAGGTTTGAGGTCTTTATCTGGTAACTACATGACATCTCGCCGTCCACAAACGTTCCATTCACTGGTCCATCATTTACTTGGACTGCTGAATCTCTGAACAAGTTCATTACTGATCAGAAGAGTTTACAGTTTCCGCATACCTACAGTGATTGAACTAGTCAGCTGCATCAACAATCTTTTAACTTGCGCTACAAATACAATATTACCATTTACCACTCAACCAGTTAGCTCTGGTAATGTAACTTTTACCTGGTAACTGTTACGTGGTAACTGTTACCTGGTAACTGTTACCTGGTAACTGTTGCCTGGTAACTGTTGTCTGTTACCTGGTCAATCCGTGGGAGTAACCTTTAACCTTTACAACAGAGTAATTTTCCTCAGTCTTCTTACACAGGTAGATGTCAGCGTTAGACATTGTACCTGAAACACAGACAAGACTAGTGCACTGGCTGTCGTAAACAGTGTTTGTTAACATTGGAATTTGGACAATCACTCCCGCGCAGTTTCGGGTGAAATATAAACTAATATTTCACCTATATATACTAGACCTATACTAGACACCATGCACTTACCATAAGTAGATAAACCAAAACCGAGCCAAATCCTGTTTGTGTTTGTCAGCGAAAACTCGGATGGCTTCCCTGTTTGCTCGACCTGGAAAAAGATCCTGCTAGTATAGAAACAACATTGCATGATCACGTTAGTTTTAATACTGCGCATTATAAACCTTTCCAGATTATGATGTGCATGAAATTACCGAAACTTTTATACTGTATAGTAGAGTGTATATCTTCGACTAGCATAATTTTAGACTTGCAAAAATAGGACTGTGATTATTTTGAACATGGTAAAATTTCAAGCATTTTCGATTGATTTATTAATGGTAGTTTTTACTGCTGTAGTTTTACTACTGTAGGATTAAGCTTATAGATGTTACCTTGACGACACCAGGTGATGACAGGCTCCATCTGAGAGAATATGAACAGGATGGAGGTGTACAACTGCTAGGGTATCTGTAACAACCCGACAAAATATCGCACTTATATGTATCTTCTCTGTCTCCTTCATTTTCCTTGTCACCTTCATCTTTCTTTTCATCTTCATCTGTTTTCTCCCCTTCATCGGTGTCATTACCATCAATTGTTTTATCTTCTTCTGTCTCATTATCGTTAGCTGAAATTTAGCCACCATCAAATATTTTGTTTCGTGAGTGAACTGTTCATATATTCATATATTTACTTTTTGGACCAAAACAACTTTAAAAATGAAAGATCTTATTTCTCTGGTTGATCATGCATGATGTAATATGTATACATTTTCACCGTTCAGATTTCTGTTGACGCACCTTTTTCGGTACAATTTCACTTTTCAAGGAGTGGACGAGTAGTGATACAAACAAATGACAAAGATTTTGTGATTTTATTCATAGCACAAATAGAGGAACAACATAATAAAATCCTTTCCATACATGAAAGAAATAGCATGCATTTCACAGCCCCACAAGGGCCTCAAAATAAAATAAAATACTAACAAAGTGTCAGATTATGCATCAGCATTCAGCAAAGATCGATAACAGCTCTTGTTTTATTCTCTCAGTCATGATCTCGTCAACAATTCCTTTTTTCGTCTCCTCCTCTGAGCCGGAGTCAGATGAGAGGCAGGGCTCGGATGAGAGTCCCTCAATCAAATCAAACACTTCTTTGAGGGTAGCTGAAGAATCAGGGTAACCATATGTAAGGGGGCAGTCTTGTGAAGTGTCCCAGATATTGGACTCATTGGGGGAGGTAGGTGTAGAGATAGGGTAGGATTGTTTGTCAGACAGAAAGGATATCTCGTCAAGTCGAGAGGTGTTATAGCAGGGAAGTGTAGTCATGTGATCCCTGTGCAAACCAGGTGTCGAGACAAGATCACCCGGTGAGATTCTCTCAGTCGTCAGAGAAGAAGCGGGCAGGAGAGGTGATCCGAACCTCGTCAGTGCTCCGTCAGAGCAAGAGCAGTCTGAAAATCTGATCAGACTTTCAGACTGCTCGGTGTTTCTGATCACGTATGGTGAAGAGCTGTTCGCCTCAGAAGGACTGCAACTAGAGAGGGATGTGAAGGTAGGGGATGGTATTGTGGAGACATTAGAGGGGGAGTATGGAGGGGTGAGGTTGAGGAAGGTATACGATGTATCAACAGGAGACATTCTGGACTGTGAGTATGACGAGGATGGAGATATTATCCTCTGATAGGTTCCAGGGGAGAAGGTTTCTTGTTTAATGGTGAGAGAAGAGTCCGGAATAAAGTAATGGTCCATGTGAGAGAGTAGCTCGAAGGAACAGGAACTCGTTTTCATCGCTATCGGAGAGGAACCGTCAACTCCAAAGTGAGTACTCACGTGTTTTCTCTTAGATGAGATGTGACTGAATGCTCTGTCACAATATTCGCATTTAAATGGTTTCTCTCCAGTATGAGTCCTCAGATGCTGTTTCAAGTTGCTCGAAACACTGAACGACTTTTCACACCCATCAAAAGAGCACTTGAACGGTCTCAGGCCAGTGTGAATCCTGCTGTGTCTCTTGAGGTTAGCCAGGTCTCCAAAACCTCTGTTACAAACGGAACATTGGTAGGGTCTCTCGCCCGTGTGGGTCCTTATGTGGGTCCTGAGATGGTCCGTTTTGTGGAACGACTTGTTACATCCCTCGTAAAGACAAAGAAATCTTTTGGGCTTTGTCTGAGATTTGAAGCGTTTTGAAGGAGGTGGAGTTGATTCGAAGAGTTGAGGTGTTTGCATCATTGATATACTTGTTCTGTAGTCGGTATATTCACCGGTAGGAACTGATACGAAGTTGTTATTCACACAAGTATTCTGTGATGGGAACATAGTAATCTTGAAATACTGGATTAGATTCGAACAGAAGGAAACAATATTAACAATGATACTCCATCTCCACTTCCTCCTTTATACAAACGTCAAACATACCCTCGTCATGTTATTATTTGGTAAATCCACTCAGACGTCGAATCTTGATGCTGGACTCTGACCTTGGGACGAGTTCGTCAGATCTGCTCTGACGTTATCACATGAGCTCTTCTTCTTGCTCCACTGCACCGACACTTGTCAGACAGCGCACGAGTAGCTACCGGCTGATTAGTGATGAGATGACTGGTATTTAGGCCTGATACACGAGGATCGGGTGATTGGGGAGATGAGATCTTTGTTCAGTCCTTGTATTGCGGTTATCTTGTTTAGCTTGGTTTATCTGCTGTGATCTGATCTCATGATTGAGAGTACCCTGTGATATGATCCCCAGACTGCTCCATCAAGTTCCGTTACGGGAGATAAGTTTACACATTCTTAGTTTAGTTTCACTTCATCGGACAGCGATTAGACAAATTTTCACAGTCGAGATTTTCATCACGCTTGGATGTTTCGATGGATCATTTTATACAATAGTAGTGCAACTATAGAATTTAATGGGCATGAAACTACGTTGTTATCCACTATTCCGGCAACACATAAAATATTTGTCACACATTCCAGACGGTGGAACTAACAAGAATGAACGGGAAGAATGCTCCGTGATAACCTGACCACTTAGATAATCATGCTAATACTGGTTATTGGTTACATCAGCACTACCTGACATGCAGCTGTAGCACATGCCTAGAGAGGGATACGGTCAGACAGCATATCTTACCTGAAGTGCATGAAGGTAGATCAGACAACACACCGTCAGAACAAGTTACCATCTCCGAACCGTACATCTCGAATCCAGAGTTACAAGACACTTTTATCTGAGACCCCGAGGGGACTTTAACTAAGTCTGGACCGACGGTTCCGTCCGGGATGTTCGGTGTCGCACAAGAATCATCGTCCTCAGTACAGGTAGGCAGGTCGGACAGTATACCGTCACTACATGATACTAGGGAGGGTCCTGATATTGTGAATCCATCTGTACAGGTCACTGTTAACTGAGATCCGGAGGTGATTGTAGCAGAGTTCGGATTAACAGATCCGTGAGGAATTTCAGGTTTTTCACAGTTATCAGGGGTATCCTCTAAACAAGTAGGGAGAGTTGATAGTTGTCCATCGGTACATGACACTAAGGAGGGTCCTGATATTGTGAATCCAGGACTACATATTATTGTGTAGTCTGAACCTGATTTGATGGCAGCAATATCTGGAGTGATAGAACTGTCGGTAACGGAGGGTATTTCACAGGTTCTCAGAGCAGTACAACTCGGTAGATCTGATAATGTTCCGTCAGAGCACCTGATGGTAGCAGCTCCTGATATTTTGAATTCCTCAGAGCAGCTCACTGTATACTCTGTCCCAGACTCTATTGTGTCAGTTTCTGGGGTGACTTTTCCGTTTTCTATGCTGGGTTTGTTACAAGGATTGGGCGGGTTCTCAGTACATGTAGGCAGTGATGATAGTTGCCCGTTAGTACAAGTTATAGTTGAGGATCCAGATAAAGTAAATCCTTGTTTACAAGTGACTTCATAGTTTGATCCGGAGTTTATAGTTTCTGAATCAGGACTCACTGTTCCGTCTTCTACACTTGGTTTACTACAGGGTGCTGAAATGCATACAAGATGGTTTCATTAGTGGGTCCGACACTCGTCAGCGTGAGACTTACCCAGGTTGCTGGTCTATGGCTCGCTTCTCTTAATCAATCACATATATAATTATATGCAAGGTAAAAATGAAACATCGCTTCAAAATTTAATTTTGCATCCTGGGGTACCCAAATTGGATTTTTTGCAGGGGTGTATAACCGAATACATGCAAGTAAACTCTCAGAGGACTCACATGGATTACATGTAGGAGACTCTGTAAGTTGCCCGTTAGTACAAGTTATAGTTGAAGATCCAGATAAAGTAAATCCTTGTTTACAAGTTACTTCATAGTTTGATCCGGAGTTTATAGTTCCTGAATCAGGACTCACTGTTCCGTCTTCTACACTTGGTTTACTACAGGATGCTGAAATGCATACAAGATGGTTTCATTCATTTGGATCAGTAAGGCTCCAATAAAATGTTCAATTCTCTTGATTATAATTAGATAAACCTTGCTATGACTGTGCGAGTGGCAAAAAGTGGATGGGCTCCTATTTCCCCGGTTGTCAATTCTACCACAAATGCTGCACTTTCTTAGCTGCTCTGGTTCCTACAAAATAAGATAATGAATTTTCATAAGTTTGGTGGCAGAGAACTTTAGTTAATCGAATCAAACTTTGCCGTGGCCGTATTGGGGAATTGCTTCGTAAACCAGACACACTTGGTCTGGCTTGAACAAAGACAACAAAAAAGAGTGCACCTGCAAAAATTGGGCGGAATAGAAATTGTATACGTAACTCTAAGCATCCACTTGCAGTCAACAGCGATGCTTTGTTGGAGGGAAAATTCACGTGTTAAATCAATAACCGAACAGTACTTTGATTATAAACTCTTCCACCAGAATGAAATATACCTATTGAACTTGAGGGTAAACTGTGGTCAGATGGCTGATAAAGATTAAAGAAACACGTGAAGGTTAAACACCTGTACTCTGGGGTATTGTCTGGAATAGATCTTCAATTTCCAAGAGCTAGTCGGACGAAAAAATGATAATAAAATGGGTGGAATTATTAGATCATGAGCCTGTTTCAGTTGCCGGACTTCATAACGCCAACTGGTGAGTGAATTCGTGAAGCCGACACGTGCAGCTCCACTATACCCTTTGTCTAACTCACTCATCTGGAACAAGATTGAAAGGTTTTTCATGAACGAACATGAGCTCTAAGAATTTGCACGTGTTGGAGCATTATTCTAGAAACAAAGCGAAAAACAGCTTTCATTTAACGTGCAGGTGCTTTTAAAACCATTCCCATTTTATCCAGCAGTACCAATTTTCAAACCTTTTCTCTATCTCAACACAGGGCGACATAATGCTACTACAAGTGGTAACACTCGTACTTCTCTGGTAAGTCCTCGTACATCAATAGTAATAATCTCAAGATGTGTGTGTCTGTGTGTCTGTCTATCTGTGGGTAATTTCCGAACGGCTTAATCAAGAAAACGGTAAGAGTTACGGGGCTAAATTTTTCGGTATAGTGCCGACTAAACTCTGACCAAGCCAAATGATTAAGGTTTTTTTGAAATCGGCCGGTGGTAAGAGGTTTAATAGATAATTTTGTGACCCAAATGTGATACTAAAGTGTGTGTGTGTGTACTCTCCCACCCGATCGCTCTCTTTCTTCCCTCATAATATATTTGCTATATAATTAGGTAATTTGGCAGTCTATACCTCAAGATTGCCTATCAAGTATTACAATTAGATACATGAGGGGCACTCAGAATTAAATTGCGGTCTGTTTGGACTGAGCGAGTTCATACTTTCCCACTTAACTGTTTTAACTACGAATATGTAATGTGTGTTTTCGAATAATATAATGGGCGGGTTTACACTAGTAATTAATACAGCAATTAATTGTATTATATAGAAGTACTAATTAGAAATATTATCTTGCTTAATTAGCTTCACGATGATAGAATGATAATTATTTTCCCACTGTCAAGATAGTCTCAATTTTTAAAGCGACCGTTTCGCCTTTATTCAGAATGGACTGTATGTTTGGAAAAAAGAATTTCGATGTGCTTGAAAGTTAGCTAACATAAAACTTTAATTGTTTCAGGACAGTTTGTGCCGCTAATGAAGATTCGACTCAAACGAGAGGTCAGCTTATTTCATTCCTTGTTCTCTCTGATTTTAATATCATTTATTACGATTCCTTCAATTACAAGAGTACACGTTAATGGTTAATGGTCCGTTGTATGAAGGTCCAGTTAAATAGACAGACATCTAAGCATTTTATACTTAATTTATACTATTGTAAAAAATTAGGCGTCGTGACGATTCCTCTCCTACTTTTAATAAATAATTACAGCTTGCAATTTATTTATAGCTGATGGTCACATAAAAACTGATAGTCACATAATATATTCGGTACTAGAATAACACTTTAACAATTTTCACATCATTGAGACCATTGCCGATAAGATAGGCGCTAAAAGTGTTTGCCTCCAGGATCTGAGGCGCGATACCACATCCGAGGACCGAAGCACCAAGAGGCAGTTGTGGGAGGTGGTAGTTCTATCACCTGTTCTGTAGCCAATCCCGAGGAGGATGACACCTTCATGATGGAGATTAACGGCAACAGCTGGGATGAGCTTGAGGGAGTCTGGACTGAGGCTGAATTCTCAAAAGCTGTCTACGACTACGAAAATGGAACAATTGAAACTAGAATTGAAGGGTTCGTGGAATCGTTCACAAAGGAGCATGATATGGCAGATATTAGATGCTATTCGCTAAAACACAAAGGAGAAGTGTCCATGACCATCAAACTACAAGACAGTTTGACTTTAACCGCAGGTTAGTACTCATATCAACCATCGCAGAAGGTTACTTATGTTGAAGTTAAACATATCTTATGTTAAAAGAACGCTCGTGTATAAAATCACCATTTTGTGCAGTTAGTAAACCAATTCAATCAAATTAAATAACTCAAATATTTCAGATGGGACGTGGTTCGAATATCCTTGGCAAGATGTACCACTTGAATTGTGGACATCCTCTGTTGTAGGAAGTGATGATGAAATACACTTTGAGGCCTTCGAAACCGGAAGCTCAGACGCTCATATAATTACAAGAATGGTCATTCGGTTCAGCAGAATCCCGATCATCTACGTAGGTAGATGTATTAGTGATACCCCACTGGAAAACTTTCCTTACAGCAATCAACAGGTCTGGAGATTCGTTAAAAACGGATATCAGGATCTTACAGTCTTCTGCAACGGAGTACAAGTGGCATACCTCAACTTTCATGAAGCTCCTGATCCAGCTTGCAGTTACAATTTGGGAGAATTAGAAGCAAGATACATCAAGTTTAATGCACGGTGGGATCATACAGATAGAGTTACAGGTAAATTTTAATTTTGCATGATACTATCTAACCGTTTAAGATTAAGTACTGTTGTAACATGTTGGAGTGACACAAAATTAACACTATTACAATATTTTGTGAGAACGCGGTCCAGATATCTAGCCGGCGGTAGCACACGACTAATGAAACATAGCTATTAACCTCAGAGATCAGCACCGCGCACATCCAAGTCGACTATGAAAATTTGATTCGATCTGTCAAGTCACCCTCAATCCTCATGATTCTAAAACCAGTATAATTCTGTTTTTACAACCTCTCTTAAATCCCAGGAATCTGCGAAGCGCCCCTGCCCTATCAGGGTGTAGCCGCTGTCAGACAACCTCCCGTACTAAATGGAGAAGAGATCCCTCTTGCATGTCCAGAAGGAAAAACACTGCACGGAACTGACCGTGTTAGATGTTATTCACCGGAAATTCATAGCGGGGAAACTTATCATTTTGAAGGAGGCAGGCCTGTGTGTTTTTCAGGTATGACCATACAATGTACTAATACACATTGAACCTTTTTGAACACTTCATGCGTGATAGAAGTCCCAGCTTTTTGAAAAAATATCTATTTCTGCAAGCTAAAAAACTATGATTGTATTATAAACTTGGGTCAGTACAAGAAGAAACACTTTAACCATTCCACTCACATCACTCATACCCTTGCCAATAAGATAAACTCTAAGAACCTGTACCTCCAGAACCTGACGTGCGATACCACATCCGCGGACCGGGCCGGCACGGAGAAGCAGTTATCGGAACTGGTAGTTCTATCACCTGTTCCGTAGCCGCTCCCGAGGAGGATGAAACCTTCGGGATGGAGGTTAACGGCTGGCATTTTAGTGATATTCATGACTCAGTCTGGACTGAGGCTGGATTCTCAAGATCTGTCTACAGACACGAAAATGGAACAATTGAAACTAGAATTGAAGGGTTCGTCGAATCGTTTACAAAGGAGCATGATATGGCAAAAATTAGATGTTATTCGAGAAAATACGAAGGAGAAGTATCCATGACCATCAAAACACAAGGTATGAACATGTGATAGGCACATCAAGGCTCGACCTCTAAACATACTATGACAAATGGGATAAAATAGTAAAAAGTGAGTGCTGTCACGTCGGCCGCCCGGCCGGTGGTATGGTGGTTTTAATACATTTGCTTCCCTCGCGGGCGACTGGGGTTTGATTCCCAGTTGGGACCAATATGATGCGGTTCAGCAACTAAACCATGATGTGATGCTTTCATTAGAGCTTCGAAAAAACATTTGGCAAAAAAATAATATTTTGAAATTTTTAAAATTTTGTCAAGTCTCAAAAAAATGTCTAAGTGAAAAATTTTCGAAGTTTTTCCAAAAATTAAATTTACCCGTGTTTTAAACGATTCCGATCATTTTGAGACAATAAACATTTTTATGATTTTTGGTAATTAGCTAATTAGCTAATTGTTTGTTTGTTTATAGAACCCGTCCCCAATCTCGTATCGGGAAATGACTAAACTCAGGTCTGAGTGTGAATACGCTAATTAGTAATTATCTAATTATCTGATTGTCTGACGTGAACATTTTTCTGACAAAAGCTTTTCTCGTCGATAAGATAAACACCCTTGATTAATTTGTAACCTTCTATGATGTGTCGGTAGATCGATTTTTTCAGACGTTCTGTCTGTAATGTAGTATTAATAATGATAAGATAATACTATTATCTTTGCACTCTGCACTGCCAATGGCAATATCACGCAAAATATAGAAATAAGATAATCGTGACGTCACGTTATCCATGACAGTTGGCACGAGTACTGAATAGACTGTGCCTGCAGTCACGTCAGGCACGGATTTTTTTTGAAAAGCCGTGCGCGACGTGCCTTAGGAGTTGTCACGTATCCTTGGCACGCCCTATAAACACACTACGTACCTATATGGTCATTACTCATTACATCTGACTGCACCATGACAACAGTTGCATGCAGTCATGGTGACAACAGTCATACTCATAGTATGGTCGAGCCCTTAAATTCTGAGAATAAACTATGGGCAACATTCTTACAATTCCTTTACAATTTTGCTAGAACACCTCTTCTTTAAATTCATGATATTCATTAATCGTTGCTCAGTAAGTTAAACATACAATTAACAGGTTGGTTACCAGTCGAACGTGAGGTGGAAATAGAGTGGGATCTAGAGTCGACACCTTTAGAAATTAAAACTAATAGTGTGCTGGGGAGTAACGATAGGGTGGGAGTGTCCTTCTACTCAGCTGAGGGAGAGAATATTGCAGGAACAGTCTGGCTCTTCTTAGGCTCTACTCCACTATACTACATCGGATATTGCAGCACATCCTTTACTAACCTCCCTGTTAATCCCCCCTCTGCTACTGACAAGGTTTGGCGTATAACTCTAACCAGAACTGCAGGTGTTAGACTAGTGATACACTGTAACGAGGTGGAGGTGGTCAACACACTGATCTCTGAATCAACGTGTGAAATGAGTTGGTGGAGCATGTTCTGGAACAAAGACGTGACAAAGATAAAGTTCGATTCCGAAGACACAGCCTCTGATTACTACGGACCACAACCAGGTGACTAATAACAACAAGCATTGGTTTAACAAAGTAACAATTTAAACTATAATTTATAAATAAACCACCTTGCTGATTCTCTCGTAAGCTCGTGATTCTTTCTGAATAAATTTACAATGCCGTTGTGGAATTTCAAATTACGTGTTTAGAATTCGTGTAACAGTAACTCAGGACTTCCGTAATCCTCATTCACAAAGGTGACGAAAGTGTAATTGATTATGTCAGTCATGCAAATCAACAGAAACTTAGCTCCTTGTTATGACCCAATTTTATCGCCGATAATTTCAAAATTGTTATCGGTTATCGGCGATAAAAATTATTGGACCGATAATGCAAACCCTAACTCATACACTTGCCGATAAGATAAACTCTAAAAACCTGTACCTCCAGAACCTGACGTGCGATACCACATCCGCGGACCGGGCCGGCACGGAGGAGCAGTTATCGGAACTGGTAGTTCTATCACCTGTTCCGTAGCCGCTCCCGAGGAGGATGAAACCTTCGGGATGGAGGTTAACGGCTGGCATTTTAGTGATATTCATGACTCAGTCTGGACTGAGGCTGGATTCTCAAGATCTGTCTACAGATACGAAAATGGAACAATTGAAACTAGAATTGAAGGGTTGGTCGAGTCGTTCACAAAGGAGCATGATATGGCAGATATTAGATGTTATTCTAATAAATACGAAGGAGAAGTATCCATGACCATCAAAATACAAGGTATGGACATTGGACATGTGATGACCACATCAAGGTTTATGTTTGTAGATTCTACAATTTTCTACGATGAAGAAGCTATATCAGTTTTGCCCCATAGTATAGTTTTTACGATACAATTACATATCTGGCTGTTGTGGCTGTTCCTTTAATACTCTTGATCAATAAAATATTACTTGTAATAGATTGATGCTTTAAGATGACTCACATGGGTCGGTACAAGAAGAAACACTTTAACCATTCCACTCACATCACTCATACCCTTGCCGATAAGATAAGCCCTAAAAACCTGTACCTCCAGAACCTGACGTGCGATACCACATCCGTGGACCGGGCCGGCACGGAGAAGCAGTTATCGGAACTGGTAGTTCTATCACCTGTTCCGTAGCCGCTCCCGAGGAGGATGAAACCTTCATGTTGGAGATTAACGGCAACAACTGGAATAGCGATAGTTTTGAGGGAGCCTGGACTGAGGCTGGATTCGCCAGAAGTGTTTACCAACACAGAAATGGGACGATATCAACTGCCATTGAGGGGTTCGTTGAATCGTTCACAGAGGAGCATGATATGGCAGATATTAGATGCTATTCGAGAAAATACGAAGGAGAAGTATCCATGACCATCAAACTACAAGGTACTGTGATATGCAGGTTCATCGAACACTTCATGCATCTTAAGTCACAGATTTCGGAAAAACTATCTAATTATAACATCTGCAAGCTACAAAATATTATTTTAATTTCACCTTTTTAATTGAATATAACCGTATTTTCAGAAAGGAAAGAAGTGAACCTACACTTTGGGGGAGTTGAAATGACATTGAACCTACCTGAGTTTGATTGGACATGGCCCTTTGGTATTTAAAGAAGACGCTGTAATAACACACGAAAAAAAACATAGTTTAAAAGAAAATATACTCAAGAGATTTTAAAATTTAGTTTGTAGTTCATTTTGAAACAATTTTTCTCCAATTTTTGATCGTTTTTATTGTGAATTAAACAGAAATTATGTATGCTGGCAATGAAAAAACCAAATAACTATTCAAAGATGACCTCTGAAATGAAATGTGCGACGTTTTTGACAATTCCATTTTAAATGGTAATAGTAACATTTTGAAAAATAGGGAAATCATTTGTTGAGGAGGGGGGGTGTGTCTCAGCTTTGAGGGAGGTGGAGTTGATTCGAAGAGTTGAGGTGTTTGCATCATTGATATACTTGTTCTGTAGTCGGTATATTCACCGGTAGGAACTGATACGAAGTTGTTATTCGCACAAGTATTCTGTGATGGGAACATAGTAATCTTGAAATACTGGATTAGATTCGTAGGGAGTTTGTGCTTGCAGCACCGCCAGGAAGATGTGAGGGCTGAATCCTTGTTCTTCTTCCGACAGTAGATGAATCCATCAGAGTCAAGTAGCTGTTGAGATCCTGTCCGACCAGAGATGAATTTGGAGAAGGTAGGCATGTTGAAAGAATGTAAGAATGCGATACTATTGTCTTTCATCTTTCAGTATATATACCTAAGAACACTTGATCGGCTCACTCTCCTTGCATGCCTTTGGCACGTACGTCTCACATCCCTTGATACGAGAACCCCCTTTAGCAAGAGCTCCCGTCCCTTATGTGATCTACGAGTCGAGCAGTCAGATCATGTTTACTTCTTAATGTACAGCTATGATTTACAGAATTTACATGTGAACTCTACCCTATATCTAGCTCATTTCTGGGTCTACTGATGGATCACATGGATGGATCACATCACTAATTATACGTCACATCACTAATTATACGTCATATGATCTGACCTCTAATAATGGAGGGCCCCCCTTTATCGGCCTCCCGTTATTCACACAAGTATTCTGTGACGGGATCATAGTATAAATCTTGAAATACTGGATTAGATTCGAACAGAAGGAAACAATATTAACAATGATACTCCATCTCCACTTCCTCCTTTATACAAACGTCAAACATACCCTCGTCATGTTATTATTTGGTAAATCCACTCAGACGTCGAATCTTGATGCTGGACTCTGACATTGGGACGAGTTCGTCAGATCTGTTCTGACGTTATCACATGAGCTCTTCTTCTTGCTCCACTGCACCGACACTTGTCAGACAGCATACAAGTAGCTACCGGCTGATTAGTGATGAGATGACTGGTATTTAGGCCTGATACACGAGGATCGGGTGATTGGAGAGATGAGATCATTGTTCAGTCCTTGTATTGCGGTTATCTTGTTTAGCTAGGTTGATCTGCTGTGATCTGCTGTGATCTGATCTCATGACTGAGAGTACCCTGTGATATGATCCCCAGACTGCTCCATCAATTTCGTTACGGGAGATAAGTTTACACATTCTTAGTTTACTTTCACTTCATCGGACAGCGATTAGACAAATTTTCACAGTCGAGATTTTCATCACGCTTGGATGTTTCGATGGATCATTTTATGCAATAGTAGTGCAACTATAGAGTTTAATGGGCATGAAACTACGTTGTTATCCAATATTCCGGCAACACAAAATATTTGTCACACATTCCAGACGGTGAAACTAACAAGAATGAACGGGAAGAATGCTCCGTGGTAAACTGACCACTTAGATAATCATGCTAATACTGGTCATTGGTTACATCAGCACTACCTGACATGCAGCTGTAGCACATGCCTAGAGAGGAATACGGTCAAACAGCACATCTTTTAACCTGAAGTGCATGAAGGGAGATCAGACAACACACTATCAGAACAAGTTACCATCTCCGAACCGTACATCTCAAATCCGGAGTTACAAGACACTTTTATCTGAGACCCGAGGGGACTTTAACTAAGTCTGGACCGACGGTCCCGTCCGGGATGTTCGGTGTCGCACAAGAATCATCGTCCTCAGTACAGGTAGGGGGGGCCAATGACTACCAATGGAGACTTTTGGGGACTAATGGGGACTAAAAATCATGGGGACTAGAGGTCAACTCGTTGACGTAATTCACCATTTGTCCCCATAAGTCCCCAGAATTTTTGACAGTTACTTATGGTTTTCAAGTTAGTTTAATAACGATACGATCGAGATGTTTTGTCCAAGATAAGAGTAGGATAAATCTAAATGGGGACTAATGGAGACTTTTGGGGACTAATGGGGACTAAAAATCATGGGGACTCGGGGTAAAATCGTTGACGTAATTCCCCAAGTCCCCAGGTAGGCAGGTCGGACAGTATACCGTCAGTACATGATACTAGGGAGGGTCCTGATATTGTGAATCCATCTGTACAGGTCACTGTTAACTGAGATCCGGAGGTGATTGTAGCAGAGTCCGGATTAACAGATCCGTGAGGAATTTCAGGTTTTTCACAGTTATCAGGGGTATCCTCTACACAAGTAGGGAGAGTTGATAGTTGTCCATCAGAACATGACACTAAGGAGGGTCCTGATATTGTGAACCCAGGACTACATATTATTGTGTAGTCTGAACCTGATTTGATGGCAGCAATATCTGGAGTGATAGAACTGTCGGTAACGGAGGGTATTTCACAGGTTCTCAGAGCAGTACAACTCGGTAGATCTGATAATGTTCCGTCAGAGCACCTGATGGTAGCAGGTCCTGATATTTTGAATTCCTCAGAGCAGCTCACTGTATACTCTGTCCCAGACTCTATTGTGTCAGTTTTTGGGGTGACTTTTCCGTTTTCTATGCTGGGTTTGTTACAAGGATTGGGCGGGTTCTCAGTACAGGTAGGAGACTCTGAAAGTTGCCCGTTAGTACAAGTTATAGTTGAAGATCCAGATAAAGTAAATCCTTGTTTACAAGTTACTTCATAGTTTGATCCGGAGTTTATAGTTCCTGAATCAGGACTCACTGTTCCGTCTTGTACACTTGGTTTACTACAGGATGCTGAAATGCATACAAGATGGTTTCATTAGCGGGGTCCGAGACTCGTCAGCGTGAGACTTACCCAGGTTGCTGGTCTATGGCTCGCTTCTCTTAAATCAATCACATATATAATTATATGCAAGGTTTTTTTAAATGTGACATCGCTTTCAAAATTTTATTTTGCACCCTGGGGTACCCAAATTGGATTTTTTTGCAGGGGTGTTTAACCGAATACATGCCAGTAAACTCTCGGAGGACTCACATGGATTACATGTAGGATACTCTGTAAGTTGACCGTTAGTACAAGTTATAGTTGAAGATCCAGATAAAGTAAATCCTTGTTTACAAGTTACTTCATAGTTTGATCCGGAGTTTATAGTTCCTGAATCAGGACTCACTGTTCCGTCTTGTACACTTGGTTTACTACAGGATGCTGAAATGCATACAAGATGGTTTCATTAATTTGGATCAGTAAGGCTCCAATAAAATGTTCAATTATTTTGATTATAATTAGATAAACCTTGCTATGACTGCAGTGGCGTAACTTTGCCTGTTGGCGCCCCCCCCCCCCCCGCTCAGTGACGAAAAGCGCCCCCCCCCCCCCCTAAAATTTTTTTGTGTCCCTAAAAAAAAGAAAAAAAAAGGTCGGGTACTTTTTTTCTCGCCCCCCCCCCCCCCCCTACAGCTTTTTGCGCCCCCTGAAGCAAAAAAGGGTACCCCAAAAATTTTTTTCGCGTCCACCGAACGCTAAATTGGACAGGAAAATACACAAATAAGGCGTTTTTTATGTGAAAGGGCCTAAAATTCAGGAAAATTGCACCCCCCTTATACGGTGCCCCCCCCCCCCCCCCCCGCACAGCGGGGTCTGCGGGGCCCTAAGTTACGCCACTGTATGACTGTGCGAGTGGCAAAAAGTGAATGGGCTCCTATTTCCCCGGTTGTCAATCCTACCACAAATGCTGCACATTCTTAGCTGCTCTGGTTTCCTACAAAATAAGATAATGAATTTCCATAAGTTTGGTGGCAGAGAACTTTAGTTGATCGAATCAAACTTTGCCGTGGCCGTATTGGGGAATTGCTTCGTAAACCAGACACTTATGACTTGTTCTGGCTTGAACAAAGACAACAAAAAAGAGTGCACCTGCAAAAATTGGGCGGAAAAGAAATTTTATACGTAACTTTAAGCATCTACTTGCAGTCAACAGTGATGCTTTGTTGGAGGGAAACTTTATGTGCACTAAATCAATAACCGAACAGTACTTTGATTATTAACTCTTCCACCAGGATGAAATATACCTATTGAACTTGAGGGTAAACTGTGGTCAGATGGCTGATAAAGAAACACGTCAAGGTAAAACACCTGTACTCTGTCTGGAATAGATCTTCAATTTCCCAAGAGCTAGTCAGACGAAAAAATGATAATAAAATGGGTGGAATTATAAGATCATGAGCCCGTTTCAGTTGCCGGACTTCATAACACAAACTGGTGAGTGAATTAGTGAAGCCGACACGTGCAGCTCCACTATACCCTTTGTCTAACTCACTCATCTGGAACAAGATTGAAAGGGTTTTCATGAACGAACATGAGCTCTAAGAATTTGCACGTGTTGGAGCATTATTCTAGAAACAAAGCGAAAAACAGCTTTCATTTAACGTGCAGGTGCACCTGCAAAAATTGGGCGGAATAGAAATTTTATACGTAACTTTAAGCATCTACTTGCAGTCAACAGCGATGCTTTGTTGGAGGGAAACTTCACGTGCACTAAATCAATAACCGAACAGTACTTTGATTATTAACTCTTCCACCAGAATGAAATATATCTATTGAACTTGAGGGTAAACTGTGGTCAGATGGCTGATAAAGAAACACGTCAAGGTAAAACACCTGTACTCTGGGGAATAGTCTGGAATAGATCTTGAATTTCCCAAGAGCTAGTCAGACGAAAAAATGATAATAAAATGGGTGGAATTATTAGATCATGAGCCTGTTTCAGTTGCCGGACTTCATAACGCCAACTGGTGAGTGAATTCGTGAAGCCGACACGTGCAGCTCCACTATACCCTTTGTCTAACTCACTCATCTGGAACAAGATTGAAAGGGTTTTCATGAGCGAACATGAGCTCGAAGAATTTGCACGTGTTGGAGTATTATTCTAGAAACAAAGCGAAAAACAGCTTTCATTTAACGTGCTGGTGCTTTTAAAACCATTCCCATTTTATCCAGCAGTACCACTTTTCAAACTTTTTCTCTATCTCAAGACAGGAGGACATAATGCTACTACAAGTGGTAACACTCGTACTTCTCTGGTAAGTCCTCGTACATCAATAGTAATAATCTCAAGATGTGTGTGTCTGTCTATCTTTCTGTCTGTGGGTAATTTCCGAACGGTTTAATCAAGAAAACGGTAAGAGTTACGGGGCTAAATTTTTCGGTATAGTGCCGACTAAACTCTGACCAAGCCAAATGATTAAGGTTTTTTTGAAATCGGCCGGTGGTAAGAGGTTTAATAGATAATTTTGTGACCCAAATGTGATACTAAAGTGTGTGTGTGTGTGTGTACTCTCCCACCCGATCGCTCTCTTTCTTCCCTCATAATATATTTGCTATATAATTAGGTAATTTGGCAGTCTATACCTCAAGATTGCCTATCAAGTATTACAATTAGATACATGAGGGGCACTCAGAATTAAATTGCGGTCTGTTTGGACTGAGCGAGTTCATACTTTCCCACTTAACTGTTTTAACTACGAATATGTAATGTGTGTTTTCGAATAATATAATAGGCGGGTTTATACTTTAGCATTTCAACTGCGAAAGTGAAGTACCGGCCGTAGGCATGGGTTACACTAGTAATTAATACAGCAATTAATTGTATTAGATAGAAGTACTAATTAGAAATATTATCTTGCTTAATTAGCTTCACGATGATAGAATGATAATTATTTTCCCACTGTCAAGATAGTCTCAATTTTTAAAGCGACCGTTTCGCCTTTATTCAGAATGGACTGTATGTTTGGAAAAAAGAATTTCGATGTGCTTGAAAGTTAGCTAACATAAAACTTTAATTGTTTCAGGACAGTTTGTGCCGCTAATGAAGATTCGACTCAAACGAGAGGTCAGCTTATTTCATTCCTTGTTCTCTCTGATTTTAATATCATTTATTACGATTCCTTCAATTACAAGAGTACACGTTAATGGTTAATGGTCCGTTGTATGAAGGTCCAGTTAAATAGACAGACATCTAAGCATTTTATACTTAATTTATACTATAGTATAAAATTAGATCTCATGACGATTCCTCTCTTACTTTTAATAAATAATTACAGCTTGCAATTTATTTATAGCTGATGGTCACATAATAACTAATGGTCACATAATATGTTCGGTGCTAGAATGACACTTTAACAATTTTCACATCATTGAGACCATGATTGCCGATAAGATAGGCGCTAAAAGTGTTTGCCTCCAGGATCTGAGGCGCGATACCACATCCGAGGACCGAAGCACCAAGAGGCAGTTGTGGGAGGTGGTAGTTCTATCACCTGTTCTGTAGCCAATCCCGAGGAGGATGACACCTTCATGATGGAGATTAACGGCAACAGCTGGGATGAGCTTGAGGGAGTCTGGACTGAGGCTGAATTCTCAAAAGCTGTCTACGACTACGAAAATGGAACAATTGAAACTAGAATTGAAGGGTTCGTGGAATCGTTCACAAAGGAGCATGATATGGCAGATATTAGATGCTATTCGCTAAAACACAAAGGAGAAGTGTCCATGACCATCAAACTACAAGACAGTTTGACTTTAACCGCAGGTTAGTACTCATATCAACCATCGCAGAAGGTTACTTATGTTGAAGTTAAACATATCTTATGTTAAAAGAACGCTCGTGTATAAAATCACCATTTTGTGCAGTTAGTAAACCAATTCAATCAAATTAAATAACTGAAATATTTCAGATGGGACGTGGTTCGAATATCCTTGGCAAGATGTACCACTTGAATTGTGGACATCCTCTGTTGTAGGAAGTGATGATGAAATACACTTTGAGGCCTTCGAAACCGGAAGCTCAGACGCTCATATAATTACAAGAATGGTCATTCGGTTCAGCAGAATCCCGATCATCTACGTAGGTAGATGTATTAGTGATACCCCACTGGAAAACTTTCCTTACAGCAATCAACAGGTCTGGAGATTCGTTAAAAACGGATATCAGGATCTTACAGTCTTCTGCAACGGAGTACAAGTGGCATACCTCAACTTTCATGAAGCTCCTGATCCAGCTTGCAGTTACAATTTGGGAGAATTAGAAGCAAGATACATCAAGTTTAATGCACGGTGGGATCATACAGATAGAGTTACAGGTAAATTTTAATTGTGCATGATACTATCTAACCGTTTAAGATTAAGTACTGTTGTAACATGTTGGAGTGACACAAAATTAACACTATTACAATATTTTGTGAGAACGCGGTCCAGATATCTAGCCGGCGGTAGCACACGACTAATGAAACATAGCTATTAACCTCAGAGATCAGCACCGCGCACATCCAAGTCGACTATGAAAATTTGATTCGATCTGTCAAGTCACCCTCAATCCTCATGATTCTAAAAACAGTATAATTCTGTTTTTACAACCTCTCTTAAATCCCAGGAATCTGCGAAGCGCCCCTGCCCTATCAGGGTGTAGCCGCTGTCAGACAACCTCCCGTACTAAATGGAGAAGAGATCCCTCTTGCATGTCCAGAAGGAAAAACACTGCACGGAACTGACCGTGTTAGATGTTATTCACCGGAAATTCATAGCGGGGAAACTTATCATTTTGAAGGAGGCAGGCCTGTGTGTTTTTCAGGTATGACCATACAATGTACTAATACACATTGAACCTTTTTGAACACTTCATGCGTGATAGAAGTCCCAGCTTTTTGAAAAAATATCTATTTCTGCAAGCTAAAAAACTATGATTGTATTATAAACTTGGGTCAGTACAAGAAGAAACACTTTAACCATTCCACTCACATCACTCATACCCTTGCCAATAAGATAAACTCTAAAAACCTGTACCTACAGAACCTGACGTGCGATACCACATCCGCGGACCGGGCCGGCACGGAGAAGCAGTTATCGGATCTGGTAGTTCTATCACCTGTTCCGTAGCCGCTCCCGAGGAGGATGAAACCTTCGGGATGGAGGTTAACGGCTGGCATTTTAGTGATATTCATGACTCAGTCTGGACTGAGGCTGGATTCTCAAGATCTGTCTACAGACACGAAAATGGAACAATTGAAACTAGAATTGAAGGGTTCGTCGAATCGTTTACAAAGGAGCATGATATGGCAGATATTAGATGTTATTCGAGAAAATACGAAGGAGAAGTATCCATGACCATCAAAACACAAGGTATGAACATGTGATAGGCACATCAAGGCTCGACCTCTAAACATACTATGACAATTGGGATAAAATAGTAAAAAGTGAGTGCTGTCACGTCGGCCGCCCGGCCGGTGGTATGGTGGTTTTAATACATTTGCTTCCCTCGCGGGCGACTGGGGTTTGATTCCCAGTTGGGACCAATATGATGCGGTTCAGCAACTAAACCATGATGTGATGCTTTCATTAGAGCTTCGAAAAAACATTTGGCAAAAAAATAATATTTTGAAATTTTTAAAATTTTGTCGTCTCAAAAAAATGTCTAAGTGAAAAATTTTCGAAGTTTTTCCAAAAATTAAATTTACACGTGTTTTAAACGATTCCGATCATTTTGAGACAATAAACATTTTTATGATTTTTGGTAATTAGCTAATTAGCTAATTGTTTGTTTGTTTATAGAACCCGTCCCCAATCTCGTATCGGGAAATGACTAAACTCAGGTCTGAGTGTGAATACGCTAATTAGTAATTATCTAATTATCTGATTGTCTGACGTGAACATTTTTCTGACAAAAGCTTTTCTCGTCGATAAGATAAACACCCTTGATTAATTTGTAACCTTCTATGATGTGTCGGTAGATCGATTTTTTCAGACGTTCTGTCTGTAATGTAGTATTAATAATGATAAGATAATACTATTATCTTTGCACTCTGCACTGCCAATGGCAATATCACGCAAAATATAGAAATAAGATAATCGTGACGTCACGTTATCCATGACAGTTGGCACGAGTACTGAATAGACTGTGCCTGCAGTCACGTCAGGCATGGATTTTTTTTGAAAAGCCGTGCGCGACGTGCCTTAGGAGTTGTCACGTATCCTTGGCACGCCCTATAAACACACTACGTACCTATATGGTCATTACTCATTACATCTGACTGCACCATGACAACAGTTGCATGCAGTCATGGTGACAACAGTCATACTCATAGTATGGTCGAGCCCTTAAATTCTGAGAATAAACTATGGGCAACATTCTTACAATTCCTTTACAATTTTGCTAGAACACCTCTTCTTTAAATTCATGATATTCATTAATCGTTGCTCAGTAAGTTAAACATACAATTAACAGGTTGGTTACCAGTCGAACGTGAGGTGGAAATAGAGTGGGATCTAGAGTCGACACCTTTAGAAATTAAAACTAATAGTGTGCTGGGGAGTAACGATAGGGTGGGAGTGTCCTTCTACTCAGCTGAGGGAGAGAATATTGCAGGAACAGTCTGGCTCTTCTTAGGCTCTACTCCACTATACTACATCGGATATTGCAGCACATCCTTTACTAACCTCCCTGTTAATCCCCCCTCTGCTACTGACAAGGTTTGGCGTATCACTCTAACCAGAACTGCAGGTGTTAGACTAGTGATACACTGTAACGAGGTGGAGGTGGTCAACACACTGATCTCTGAATCAACGTGTGAAATGAGTTGGTGGAGCATGTTCTGGAACAAAGACGTGACAAAGATAAAGTTCGATTCCGAAGACACAGCCTCTGATTACTACGGACCACAACCAGGTGACTAATAACAACAAGCATTGGTTTAACAAAGTAACAATTTAAACTATAATTTATAAATAAACCACCTTTCTGATTCTCTCGTAAGCTCGTGATTCTTTCTGAATAAATTTACAATGCCGTTGTGGAATTTCAAATTACGTGTTTAGAATTCGTGTAACAGTAACTCAGGACTTCCGTAATCCTCATTCACAAAGGTGACGAAAGTGTAATTGATTATGTCAGTCATGCAAATCAACAGAAACTTAGCTCCTTGTTATGACCCAATTTTATCGCCGATAATTTCAAAATTGTTATCAGGTATCGGCGATAAAAATTATTGGACCGATAATGCAAACCCTAACTCATACCCTTGCCGATAAGATAAGATCTAAAAACCTGTACCTACAGAACCTGACGTGCGATACCACATCCGCGGACCGGGCCGGCATGGAGAAGCAGTTATCGGAACTGGCAGTTCTATCACCTGTTCCGTAGCCGCTCCCGAGGAGGATGAAACCTTCGGGATGGAGGTTAACGGCTGGCATTTTAGTGATATTCATGACTCAGTCTGGACTGAGGCTGGATTCTCAAGATCTGTCTACAGATACGAAAATGGAACAATTGAAACTAGAATTGAAGGGTTGGTCGAGTCGTTCACAAAGGAGCATGATATGGCAGCTATAAAATGTTATTCTAATAAATACGAAGGAGAAGTATCCATGACCATCAAAATACAAGGTATGGACATTGGACATGTGATGAGCACATCAAGGTTTATGTTTGTAGATTCTACAATTTTCTACGATGAAGAAGCTATAACAGTCTTGCCCCATAGTATAGTTATTACGATACATATAGATATCACCGCAGCCTTGAGGGCAGTACTAAATATTGCACGCGCGTGCGCGTGCAATATTTTATATCTCCACGAGGGCGCCAGCCCGAGGAGGAGATATTTTCGTATAGCACGGAGGGCCCAACGGGCCCGAGTGCTATACGATAGTTCTGCCCTCATGGCGAGGAATGATATCGTGTATATCCATGAGCGGGCGCTTCTCAAGTGTAGTTGTAATGCCACTAATTAGATGATCATTTACTAAGTTTTATAAATGTAAATATATCAACAATGTAATATATCCACAAGTGGGCGTTTATCACGCCCACTTGTGGATATTTTTTTCCAACAATCACAGCAAATTAATGTACAAGATTTCAGAAATTTTACGAGAAAATCATGTTGCTTTTAGTTTAAGATGTAGAACAGGCCAAAATGACTGACTATAGAACGAAAAACCAGCCACTATCAAACAATGTTTCAGCTCATTGTTTCATGTACATATGATTTTATTGTAAACGATCAATATATTAATATAGGCCCTCTCTCCCTCTCTCCCTCATCTCCTTATCTCCTTCTCACCCTCTCTCACTAAGATGAGAAGTACGAATGAGTCGGACTTTTCAATTTACTCGTATCGTACGTACTTTTCAATTCTACTGAAAAGTTCTCGTTCTAGAAATCCATGGAAGAGTTCTAAATCGCATGTTACGGACTAATATTGAGCGTTTTCAAAAACTTGTGTTTCTATATTCCAATCGTCGATTAACTTAAAGTTTAACTTTACGAGAAACAAGCTGTTTAAATAAGTAAATTGTCTAGCAATTTTGTAGAATTTTTGTTTTACTCTTAAATGCTTGCCTGACCTAAGAATTGTGTGTTTAATTTGTTCGCGAACGGTATATTTTCTCTAACATCGGCAAACAATTACATTTTACAACGGCCCCTATGATAATAACTCAAAAACAAAAAAATTCTATCTGAATCGTACGTCGTATGAGTCGGACTTTTCAAAGTTGCGTACAAGTACGTACTTTTCCCCCTAAACGAGTCCGTACTTCTCATCTTAGCTCTCTCACTCTCTCACTCTCTCCCTATCTTCCTTTCTCCTTCTCCCACTCTCCTTACCTCCCTCTCTCCCTCTATCACTCCCTCTTTATCTCCCTCTCTCTTCATCTCCCTCTCTCCTCCTCTCACTCTCTTTCTCACCCTCTCTACTTCTCTACCTCTTTCCCTCCCTGGAACCAGAACAAGCACCGCCAGTCGCCACAGAGCAGCTGCTACTACCACGTGAGTTGTCATTATCAGTTACCAGGGTAACCAGGGTTACCCGGGTAACCAGTTACTAGAGTTTCTGTAGCAGCTACTGAGTGACTGGACAATCAAAAGAAGTAACCCAGAGAGCTCGAGATCACAGTCTGATCATGGACATTGAATATGAAAGTTAAAGATCAAATTTATAACATCAATTTAAATGGCAGTTTCAAAACAAAAACAGGGCAAAATATCTTTCGGGAACACAATAGAATAGCACGTAAAATGTCGGCCTAAATTTCAAGGTTTATCAACTGAAATAGTGAACTGAAAATGGTAAACACAAAACAATTATCGATACTGAAAAATATCACCGGCTTAGACTTAACGTCTCCACGAATTTGGTAACCATAGTAACAGTGTGTCACGTGTTGATTATGAGCCAATCATGGCAACCTGCGTGATATATAAGGTATGCTCAGAGTTCAGAGTTGATACATTCTTTACATCCACATATTGCCGTGGGAACTATTAAAGTGTACTGTGTAACTGTAATGTGTAAGTGTGGATCAATAACACTGTTCAGTGTTTAGATTTCATGTCATCTGCTCACGAGATGTATCATCAGCCCTACCGGACACAAAAATTTATCGCTACTGGACAAATTTCATGCGGGCTATATTGGCTGTATTGTTACTTGTCACGTTAAGTGTCGTCTGCTCGCGTGCTGTATTTTAAGCGGGCTGGACGCGCACTGTGTCTTGTAACATCGGGCTGCGAGTGCTCAGATGACAAAATATAGCCCGCTGGTGGATATAATTACATATCTGGCTGTTGTGGCTGTTCCTTTAAAGCTTTAATACTCTTGATCAATAAAATATTACTTGTAATAGATTGATGCTTTAAGATGACTCACATGGGTCGGTACAAGAAGAAACACTTTAACCATTCCACTCACATCACTCATACCCTTGCCGATAAGATAAGCCCTAAAAACCTGTACCTCCAGCTGAACCTGACGTGCGATACCACATCCGTGGACCGGGCCGGCACGGAGAAGCAGTTATCGGATCTGGTAGTTCTATCACCTGTTCCGTAGCCGCTCCCGAGGAGGATGACACCTTCATGTTGGAGATTAACGGCAACAACTGGAATAGCGATAGTTTTGAGGGAGCCTGGACTGAGGCTGGATTCGCCAGAAGTGTTTACCAACACAGAAATGGGACGATATCAACTGCCATTGAGGGGTTCGTTGAATCGTTCACAGAGGAGCATGATATGGCAGATATTAGATGCTATTCGAAAAAATACGAAGGAGAAGTATCCATGACCATCAAACTACAAGGTACTGTGATATGCAGGTTCATCGAACACTTCATGCATCTTAAGTCACAGATTTCGGAAAAACTATCTAGTTATAACATCTGCAAGCTACAAAATATTATTTTAATTTCACCTTTTTAATTGAATATAACCGTATTTTCAGAAAGGAAAGAAGTGAACCTACACTTTGGGGGAGTTGAAATGACATTGAACCTACCTGAGTTTGATTGGACATGGCCCTTTGGTATTTAAAGAAGACGCTGTAATAACACACGAAAAAAAACATAGTTTTAAAGAAAATATACTCAAGAGATTTTAAAATTTAGTTTGTAGTTCATTTTTCTCCAATTTTTCTCCAATTTTTAATCGTTTTTATTGTGAATTAAACAGAAATTATGTATGCTGGCAATGAAAAAACCAACTAACTATTCAAAGATGACCTCTGAAATGAAAGGTGCGACGTTTTTGACAATTCCATTTTAAATGCTAATAATGACATTTTGAAAAATCGGGAAATCATTTGTTGAGGAGGGGGGGGGGGGGGGGTGTCACAGCTATATTTTTCGGCGCCGTTTTGGGAAATATGCTGCTGATAAACAAGCTTTAAAAGATGCACAATTTAACATAATTTCATGCAATTTAAAGAAATTAGGCTAAGGGACTCACATGGATTACAGGTAGGAGACTCTGTAAGTTGCCCGGTAGTACAAATTATAGTTGAGGTTCCAGATAAAGTAAATCCTTGTTCACAAGTGACTTCATAGTTTGATCCGGAGTTTATAGTTCCTGAATCAGGACTCACTGTTCCGTCTTGTACATTTGGTTTACTACAGGACGCTGAAATTGCTATATTTTACAAGTACAACAAGCTTCGAACCTTTTACACACTTTAAGCCTTGAAAGTAAATTCCTACGATGTACAATGACGCAGAAGGAAACCCTCCTGCACCTTCTACTTGATAAACTCCACCACTTAATATGTTTGACCAATTTTACAACAAAAAAAGTAAGATCCCTGGGTGCTAATTTGGCCTAGTCGACCCTTGCATTGTCCCTAGCTACTCCTCTTATTGGTAGCGACTTACCAGGACCACAAGTGGGTAGAGCAGACAGTGCACCATCGTTACAAGTAACATCAACTGGGCCTGATAAAGTGAACCCTGTTGAGCATGACACAGTGTATTGAGCTCCAGATTCAACTGTAGCCGAGCTGGGTGTGACAGACCCGTTAGGTACAGTCGGTTTGCTGCATCCAGCTGAAATCAGGGTTACACCGTCAAAACAAAATAATAATTTTATTTGTTGCAGAATGATCAGATAAAGAACTTTCGACACCTAAAATGAGTAGGTAACAGGTAATCAGTGGCGTAATGTATCTATGTGCCGCCCCCACTATTTTTTGTCCTTCCTTATAAAATGTTCTTATGTCCTATTAGGACATTTTTAAAAAAGGTCAGGCTTAACGGGTAATGGGTAACGAATAACGGGTAACGAATAACGGGTAACGGGTAACGGGTAACGGGTAACAGGTAACGGGTAACGGGTAACAGGTAACGGGTAACGGGTAACGGGTAACAAACCAGTAGGAGCGGTATATTGCTGAATGAGAGATAAACTGGAGGTTGATCTTTTGGGTGTATTGGAGTGCTTACTCATACCATCCTCACCCCACATTGTACCTGATAAAAAAGACTTGCTAAATGTGCTAAAATAAGATATTCATCTTCTACAGGATCATAATTTACCCCACTACAGTACAGGGGCTATCATACTGAATATTATGCGTCAAACCTCTCTTTAAAACACAAGTTGAAACTGAATTGGTGAACACGATACAAATTAAAGGTACAATCTTCATCTTGACCGTGACTTACCCATGGCACTGTAAGCCATCTTAAGATCACCAGAAGGAAGAAAGGAGTTATTAATCGTGAATTTACAGTTCATTGCTCCATCTACTAAACTTCCTTCTACTCCGTCGGTCGCCACGTCGGTTGTTGAGGAACTGCAGGATGTTGGATCGGATCAATTAAACAGCTCATAGTAAAATAAAACTGTGCTTTGATCCTGCAATTGTGGTTTTTATTTATGTTTATTGGGATATTGAACCGATCCTTAGCCGTAGTACATACATATTGCATTACATGAAAAGTGAAAGTGAAATACCAAAGTAAAGAACTAAATGTAATTACCTGACTCCATATCCAGTTGTAGCTCTTTTCTTCGCTGAGTATTTCTCACCGTACTTCTGACAAGTGTACACTGTCATCCCACTCATCCTTCCCGTTGAAGAGAGCCCATATCCCAACCAGACGTTACTACCCGATACACTGTGAGCAGATAGCTTACCTGATATCTCTATCTGAAAAAAGCAGATGATGTTCAAACTGATTTTTCCGATGTATGTGATCAGTCAATAAATGTTGTTACTTGTTACTTGTTTTAACTATGCATTACGATCAAATGTTAACCTCAATTTGTTTTTTTAAATATCTGGATTATAGAAATGACATGATCATCCAACAAATAAAGATATGAGTTTTCCATGACTACATAGTACATGTACTACTGCATACATCATGAGAATAATATCAGATAAATTGTAGCAACATGCTCCAAGTAAGTTTGCACTGCTACCTGAGTAGTGTCAGCTGAAGCAGCTTTATACTTGAGCAAGTAATCACAATCAGCAGTACACCCAGAGGGGTCTGCCACACACTTCACCCCTTCAGAGTCACAAGTCAGGCTACAGAGTAGAGGGGAGATCAGGAGACTCAACAACACCCAGCACCTTCTCATTCTAAGAGGGCTGGTTTTGTAAATTAACATTGGTATGTTGTGTTAAGTAATCTGAGAGATGCTAAAATATATCCACATTCTCTAGGAAATTGGAAATATTCACGATTTAGTGTGTCAAGACCTTAGTATAATTCTCTTCGTTAAAGTTCATACTTATAAATATAAGTTAAATTATCTATAAGCAAATTTAAATCAATCACACTATCAGAGTCAACAAATTAAATAAATCAGGTGCCAACTTTTTGTAATATCTATGAGTTTGCTTGGTGTTTGTGTAAGCCTAATACTGCCGAGCCTCACAGCTGTACAGACAGTTAAAGGATATATCAGATTTGGAAGAATGCCAAAAATAGCAGTTGAGCAGGTTATAGTAGGGCTTCTGTGCAACATGTACAGCTTGCAGTCTGCAGGCCGAGATTATAGTATTGAGAACTGTTACTGACTTCTTATACCTCTGCTTTTAAAATGTGATAGAACAGAAAACCTCGGGATGATATAGAAAGTGTATATTCCGTGGTGTATATATGGTACTGACCTAGGATCTGGTGTGGTAATCTTTTACTAGGATTAATTATACTAAGTGGCGGTTGAGAAAAATTAATAATTCCAAAAGAACCATATTGGTGAAAAAACGAAACGAAAGCATGGAAGGGCAATGACGTAATACAAATTTAAATGTACAGTAGCAACATCATAAAAGAAAGAGGCCAGGCTAGTTACAAGTTACAACAAATATTACAGTTATTGGTTATACACATTACGCAAAACGACACACACGTACATCACATTCCTAGTCTTGTTCATCACATACAATACTCTCTAAGCAAACAAATAGTTCCTTGTGTGGATATTAACCAAGGTGCAGTTTACAGATAGGATGTCGAATGAATCAGATATCTTGATTCAATTGATGACCCTGACATGTATTTAATAAATCTAAATAACGAAAATATTCACATTGCGTATCTCAGTTAAGTTATAAATACTATACATGATACAGTTAAGGGGGGGGGGGGGGGGTTCACCCTGATTTTTTTGTGAAACTTGGTTTCGAGATAGCAGTTGACCAACAAACTAGGACCGGTGACCGAACTTTTGAGGGGGTCCGGCCACGTTACAGTGAGACAGAACGTTATTGTAAAGCTGCACATCGTTTACACTATATTTGGCATAGAAGCAAGCTCATATTAATATTATTATTATTAGGAATTAATACTTTAATGAACATGTATTTATGTTAATAGCCATGAGCGAGAACCAAGGTGAAATGGAGGTGTTATTAATTAGGGTTGGAATTCCATATTACCGTCAAGGATTAATTAACCATCTCGAATTTTTTAACAGTTTTCAACATTCAAGGTAGTTACGTTTTTCAAAAATATCCCGAAACCAAATCTTTTTCCAGAACAGTTTAAAAAACTTTATGTTCAGAGAAATAAAATGGAATTTTAAATCCATTTTGTATTTTTTGACGGTTTTTAAAACCTTTAAGAATTCGAATCCTAAATTTTTCTTTGCACTTTGGGCAACATAATTATAAAGCTTAGCTGTGAAGTTTAAATATTTACTCCCAGAAAACAACACGAACGGCTCTGCGGCAGAGCTAAGCCTCTGCCAGTCATCTCAATCATGTGGAAAAGTACATTTAAAAGTAAAACAGTACATTTAAAATATGATATATACTGCCGGAGTTTGATGAATTACGATACATTCGGTGATGTGCCATGCGGTCTTGTAACACTAACAGTGTCGTAAGTGTCGCTACGTAACACTAACGAAACAAAACACAGTGAAAACACAAAGAGAAGATCAGAAACTCTGACGAAAGAAAGCACAAACGGCCACAATATTCTGCTGGCACATACAACATTGATATTGTAGCGATTCTAGTTCTAATAAGTAGTTAATTACAGTTGCTGGAAGTAGGGACATTAGCATGCACCGTGACCATCCAGTGAGTAGTCATGTTCACTATATAAACTTATGTATAGAGAAGTGTTCACTACGAGTACAATCTACACAGTACAAGCTATACATCATAAGGTTCTTAAACATAACACACTACAGAACACAATGCTCGTACATAGAGGCACCTATACTGTGTGCTAATATCATACACTACGGTACACACTACACAGTATACACTACACAGTATACACTACACAGTACACACTACACAGTATACACAGGAGCAAGGACTAAGTACAAGACGCTGAGAACAGGATAGCAATTACTTACCTAATTCACAAATAGCAGACAGTATCCAGGGCAGTGTTAAGAGAGTCAGTGTGTACGGTGTAGCGCGTACGGTGTAGCGCGTACACTGTGTTTGTGTACATTGAGTACAGTTTGTTTATTTGCTTTTCCCTTTTAAGATTTACAATTTACATTGATTACTATCGAGAAAGACACTCGGTATGATGATGCGTGCTTATTTGAAGACCGTGTACTTGGGTCATTAGTATTTCAATTAGCACTTTTATCTCCGAGTTGACTGTTACATCACCGATAATCAGTTGTTGCGTGTAGATACTAACGCTTTGCTTCTCTCAGAAGATTAAGATACAAACACTTAAAAGTTTCAAGATCTATAACGTGCTTGAACTCTCTGACATTAACTTTACATAGCAGGACTTTCATGGACACAAATAAACAACACTTGTTCAAATCGTTGATTAAATCATCTAAATTTAATTCCATATCATACAAACGTTGAACAACTCTAGACTTAAAATCTAATTATTCAATATTCAAAATTGTCTGACAATATATTCTTAAGATCCGGTCGCGGCTACCGGCTTGCTAATCCCACATTTACCGAGCTTAGATTCCACAAAGCCGAATAATGTATCAAATATGGCCCACGCCCCACATTAGTCGAGTTGGTAGAATCCAGGATCTTACCAGAAATCTCGAGGTTAAATCGGGCTAACGAACAGTGTCTTAATGTGGGCATGAGGTGGCGTTCAATTACACCACCAAAACTTTTTCAACCCTTTATATTTTTACTCTTTCCCTAGATTACCCGGTAAATGGAAGATTAACCTAATATTTAACTAGTTTATCGAATAGCTTTTGGCGTTTCTCAATAATAAAAAGTTCAACTAAGCTGCTGATCTTGTTAATTCCAAGAATAACGAAACTAAAAGTAAATGATAATGGATAAGTCACTAATCACTAATCGAATTATTAATCGCGGGTCCAAGGGTCATTATTTTAAGCAAAATTGTTAACTAAAACAAATGAGTTTTTCTGTCCATTCTTGAAATTTTGCATCGACAAATTTCTAATAAATTATACTCTACTTAAACAATACCAAAATAAAAAACATTAACCCAATTTTCAACATCATCAGAAAGAGGACGAATTTCTCGTAATGAAACCCGCGCTGAAACATTATGGGAACAAATTCTATCAATCAAAAGAGTGTAAATAAAAACGAAAATATTCAAGAAACATATAACAATATTAACCACGCAGAAGAAAGTTTGCCGTGTTTAACTGAAAGTTAGAATTTCCTATCTAACTTGCTATCCACATTCTGTAGCTTGACAAAAGCAAGCACGTACAAATCTATCGACAAAGTCTGTTGAACTGAACGGGGTCCCCTATAAAAATTAGACAGAGCTGCAGTCAGAAAAAAGAAGGTTTAGCCCTCTTGCCCGAAGTCTTGTGTGAACTTTACATGCTCTTTCAGATCGTCTTCTCCGACGGTTGGCCGGCAGTTGGCCAACGCTCTAAGCATGTCGTTCTGAAATTTAGGTGGTGAATATAAACAAAGCTATAAAGAAGAAAACGAATGACGAATCAATATGCCACATTAAAAAAGATATAATTGATTGATTTTAAAATAAAAATACTCAAACAAGATGTACATTGTACAAAACTGGGCATAATTTTAGCTACTCACCATATCAACTACAGGCTCAAGTAAATCGTCACCATTAATTGACATCCAGTTAGTTTCAACAGCTCCAGGATCACCAGGGCTACACGGGGACAGAAAATCATTTCTGGTCCTCGTCGGGTCGTCTCTGCAGGGTCCGGACATTTTCTTAAAATGTGTAGCTTGTTGGACTTTTCTGACAGGCTGCATGAGGGCGTCTCTGACCACGATAGCTACGTCAGCACCACTGTACCCTTCACTGCGTTCTCCAAGCTCGTTGAACATCGCATCAGTGAGGACGTGAGGCGTGGTGCCAAGGTTCAGCTTGAACATGTACGTACGGGCTTCAGCTTCAGGCAGGGGGATGTAGATTCTCTTTTCGAACCTGGAAGTAATTTAAATTAATTGGTTCATCACAAAGAATACGTAGGTACTAACACCACCTTCACTGCACTCCAATTTCAATTAGCATAGCACAATATGTGAGAAAACCAAAGACAGATGTTAAGAGAAATAAGAAATCTTGCCTTCTCCTAATGGCAGAGTCCAGTCCCCAGGGAATATTAGTGGCACCGAGTACCAGTATACCGTCATTATCATTACCCACTCCCTGCATCTGAACGAGGAACTCAGTCTTAATACGTCGAGCTGATTCGCTCTCACCTTCTCCTCTTGCAGAGCACAGAGAGTCTACCTCGTCCAGGAATATGATTGTCGGCTTGTTTTTACGTGCCATCGCAAACAATCCTTTTACTAACCTGCGGGTTTCAGATTAGGGTCCAGAATTCGAGTTAATATGAGTAATTTACATATTCACTGGCGGCGAGAAAGTTAATATTAATTGGATTAAGGGGAGATACACCAAAAACGTTTTTGCTCCGAACATCGATTTTATTTTATATTATGGTTAAATAGACAAAAAGAATAAGATTGCACACCTTCAAAATTTTCTAAAAATATTCCCTCATCGAGAAAAAAAATATTTTTCTTTTTCGAAAATTTTTAAAATTTGGAGAAGTCTGTCACTGTAATATCGATAGTTCGGCCATTTTAAAAGTTTTTTGGCTGATTTTTTTACTGAAGATTACTTACACTCCGTACAAGACAACCCTTTAAAGGATTATTTAATTGAACAATAAATGACCAAGTTACAGACCGAACAAGGTGAAAAAAGAAAAATTGGGATTTTTGCCTACCACCAAAGTTGTACATTTTACCACTCGCCCAGGTCATCAGATATCGCTTCAAAAATTCTTGTGAGTGTAGCTGATGAAAATATCAAACTTTTTGGAACAGGATTTCTCTCAGTTTTGAGTTTTAAGGTATGAAATGTGGCCTCAAACGACTTGGTAAAATTCATCGTAAAAAAGGGCCAAACATGGCAGATTTAAGGCTTAAAATGCCTATAACTCAAAAAGTGTCAATTTTTTTGAAATAATTTTTACAGAATCGTAATCAGCTTGAAAAGACGAATCTTTTAGTACCAAATAGGTGATTTTAGAAGACAAATTGTCTTAAATAATTTTCTAGCTCGAACACAAGGGTCCCCCCTAGTATAAATTTTGTACAAATTGTACACATTTTTTTACAAATTTTGTGTCTTTAACTATTATAAATTTGGTACTAAAAGATTCGTCTTACCAAGCTGATTACGATCCTGTAAAAATTATTTCAAAAAAACTGATACTTTTTGAGTTATAGGCATTTTAAGCCTTAAATCTGCCATGTTTGGCCCTTTTTTACGATGAATTTTACTAAGTCGTTTAGGCCACATTTCATACCTTAAAACTCAAAACTGAAAGAAATCCTGTTCCAAAAAGTTTGATATTATCATCAGCTACACTCACAAGAATTTTTGAAGCGATATCTGATGACCTGGGCGAGTGGTAAAATGTACAACTTTGTTGGTAGGCAAAAATCCCAACTTTTCTTTTTTCACCTTGTTCGGTCTGTAACTTGGTCATTTATTGTTTAATTAAATAATCCTTTAAAGGGTTGTCTTGTACGGAGTGTAAGTAATCTTCAGTAAAAAAATCAGCCAAAAAACTTTTAAAATGGCCGAACTATCGATATTACAGTGACAGACTTCTCCAAATTTTAAAAATTTTCGAAAAAGAAAAATATTTTTTTTCTCGATGAGGGAATATTTTTAGAAAATTTTGAAGGTGTGCAATCTTATTCTTTTTGTCTATTTAACCATAATATAAAATAAAATCGATGTTCGGAGCAAAAACGTTTTTGGTGTATCTCCCCTTAAAACGTCACATGCGTTAAAGATATAGCTAGCTATAACGCATAATATAGCTATGCATTATATAGCTATAAAGTCATGACAGCTTACTTTTCACTTTCTCCGAGCCACTTAGACAACAAGTCGGATGCAGAAGCGCTGATGAAGGTGGAGTTGCCAGCTTCTGTTGCCACTGCTTTGGCCAGGAAGGATTTACCGGTTCCGGGTGGCTGAAATTGGATGGGGTCCAGCACTTGTAGAATATTCATGAATATGAAAATGAGAGTCAACGAATTACTGTACGTCTCGCCATTAATTTGGTTGGTAATTAGAATCACAAGATTCAGAGCTGAGTGAGAAAGCGCTAAAAACGTACCCCGTATAGAAGAATACCACGCCATGGCGTCCTTTTACCTGAAAAGGATCTCATTATAACTCCTATATTTCCACGAACAGTCAGTCGCCATGTTTAATGTTACGTAAACTATCATGAAATCAATTCTATAACTGGCGATGACTTGAACATGTTAAAGATCTAAAATAGAGATTGCGAATGAAGGCCATCTAGCTTAGCAGTAGATTGGTTCCTGTCGACTGGCAACTGCATACTTTTTAGTGCAATTTTCTAGTTCGCCCACGCCCTCGTGCATTCCGATGTCAACCGAGACGTTTGCGCAAAATCAAATTCCTATTATTTGCTGAAGGTAGAAGGCATAATGAATAAACATCAGACGAAAATTGGGCCAGTAACTGCACGCACGAACGAATTGCGCGCGAATTTGCTGCGGCAAACTATGTTTAACTTTGCACGCAACCGAACGAAAATGAAGTGCTAGTTGCAGAAGTACATGATTGATTATTGTCCCAATTTGGACAAACGGTTCGCAAGTTTCGATGCCGTGGTCCGCGCTAAGATGTTCAGTGGAACTACCCTAAGCAACCCATAAATTATTTCTAGAAGTCAAATGACTCAATTATTTGTGCAATCGGCGAATTAGCTCTCAACCGGGCCCTGGTTTCTTTTTATGACCATCCCTGTCTAAATGCCAGAAGGGAGGGGACTTAAAAGAGCTAAGCACGCAAGAGGCACGTCAACTTACCAACAAACAAGTGGGGGAATTTAGTGGGTAAGATGACGGCTTCTTTCAGGGATTCCTTAGCAACATGCAATCCAGCGACATCATCCCAACGTATATTGGGTGTCTCCATTACAATTACACCTGAAAATACATTATTGAGTTTATTTTCGCATATAAATGAACAAATGGAATGTTTACATGAATTGATATTGGTAGGTAGTAGATACTCATATATAGGATGCCCTATACTTTTTCCAACGAAAGGTTGGACAGGGTATTGGAATGAGAATCCGGAATATTTACTCATTGAATAGACTTGTCTAGATGTACTGTATATTTTTATTTATTTATTTGTGTAGTACTATGTTTGGGCATGTTTTGAGAATGCCTGAAGACAGTATTGCAGCAAAATCTCATATTGCAAAAATCTAAAATACTTTTATTTATTTATTTTTGTAGTACTATGTTTGGGCATGTTTTGAGAATTCCTGAAGACAGCATTGCAGCAAAATCTCAAAGGGGCTGATATCGAATAAATGTATTTAACACGTACGATTGACATGTTGTTTCTTAAATACTTTAGAAGATTTGCCTTTCTTAAAAGATGTTGCTAAAGATAGATCTTAATGGACTATTTGACGTTTAGTTTACCAGACTCTGACGATGCTATAATAGCTGTTTGGTATTTCTCAACAGTTTTACATATAATATAGATATTCAAATTATAAATAGGTTATAGTCGCTCAACATAATCAACTAATTCGCTGGGCGTTCATTGGATCAGTGCTAAAGGAATCACTAGACTAACAAACTACACAACTCCAATTTTACATAACCTTTTTATAACTACTATAAGCTTACCCTCAAGTTGTTCTCGAAGTTTCTTATCATCAGCACTTTCTTCATCGCTACTTGAGTCACCACTATCATCCTCTTCCTTCTTATCTTTCTTGCTGCTCTTCTTCTTGCTAGACCCACCCTCTGCTGACGCTTTGGCTTTCTTGGGACCCCCGTTAGCTGCAGATTTTACTGTTCAGATGTTAGCTTCCATAAAGTTATATTTATTATGAAATACGGTTAAATAAACCTCTCACATACCCCTAACTGTTCCGTAATCTTAACTAGTGATCAGCCGGAGTTCTTAATCCAGGGCCACAGCTAAATTTTCTGGGACTGTGATTTACTATGAATTATCTAAACAGTAAGAGCTATCAGAATTAACATTTAAGATGGTTCACTAACTTGCAAACTGTTCAAGGGTTTAATTAATGAAATAGGAAGCTTGGTGAGGTACAAGGATAATAACATGATATGTCAGTATAATTTTGTCGTGGTTGGGATAAAGTGGCAAATCCCATTCCTAAACGGCCCCAGACGACCACGTTCACCTAACCTCAACCGAACCCTTACTATACCAGTGGAATAATCTCCCGAAATAACAGGACTTGCATTCCGCACTACGTTGTGCAAGTTAAAAGAAAACTTTCGTCCAGCCAGTTCAGGCTAAGTTTCCTGAGTGTATACTGTATATAACAAAAAAATGCCAATAATAGTGAACAATGAAATGTTATCCATGTTACAGCGATACACGCTACTCACGAAGAATTCTCTTTTTACTCACCTAAAAACTTCTTGATCTCTTCCGCCCGTTCGAGATAAGACATACATTTTGCTCGAATGCTTTCTTTAGATTTGGCGCCCTGGGCCTCGTACTTGATGGAATGCAAGAAGTAATCTACACCATTCTGATAAAGCCTCAAAGCCTCTGGATAGTTTCCTTTCTTATCCTCTTCAGTGGCTTTGGTCACTTGCTCGATGGCTTTCTGTAGTGTAGACATTGCGGCCTATCCTTCATCTTCCATATCACTACGGTTTACAGAATAATCATTTTACTGTACTGATATATAATTTGGTTCAGAAGCATCAGAAAATTCTAGTAGCTTTTATAAAATTAAAAATTAAAATATTTGAAGATTACAGTGTAATAGATTGGATATTTACCTTAGGTATCAGTGCAAGGCGAACATTTAAAATGTTTAACATTATTGAAGCCTCAAAGGAGGCCTCCACCCTCAAATGTGAGTGTGGAAATTTAGGGTACATAGAATGAGAGATATCTAGTGAAGGCACGCAACATTATCACGTACTGTTTGTAAACTAATTACAACACTACAAATCTATTACATTTATTGAGAATTATGTAATGTAACGTGATGGAAATATTTTAAACGGGCATATCCTGTCCAAACCCAGGATGCACTACATGAAGAATTCGTTGTAACTTTGTTTGAAAAGCATTAATGCGTTCACTGCAACATAGCAGAGCTGTTGTTATTTGTGTTGTAAGAGTAAGAAAGTGATAAACTGATGCATGTCAATTATTGCAGAATTTTAACGGCTCGCGCACTCGTCGTACAGAATTCGTGTGAAATTTTACTGCAAACCTCTGATTTACGATTTTAAATCATCGTATCTCTAATATGTTTTTAACCCAACTCCACTCAGCTCTGATTTACAAAATTAGCACAGTTGTAATATAGTAGTTCCACGTAGAGTCTATTAATAGATATATATAATACCGGTATGGTACACTGTATATTGTATAATGTATATAAATTATAAATACAACAAACATCATTCTACATTGTCTAGTCGGTATGTGGAGAAATATTCAAACTAATCCATGGAATTCAATAACGCGAATAAGACACAATATTGTAACGAAATAAATTATAATTATACACGATATGAAATAAATTATAAAAACCATTGTTCTAATAAAAAAATTACAAACAGAACTTTGAACAAAAAGACCCTAGATATAAACCATAAACTCAATAATCTTTATTTTTTTGTTCTTTAGAAACAGACTCAAAATGAGTGTTAAACTTTTGGTAGCGAGATTAATAAAGGAAAATTGCCGCTACAACTACCATTAATTTTGAACAATTCCTAAAGTATGGCTTCAATAGCACGAGGTGCTATTATTTGGTCTGAATATGGTCTTTGATTATAGGGTCTTGAACATATTATAGGGTATTGTAAATACTTGCATTTAATGCAACATAATTAAAAGTTTGAGGCAATTCTAACATATATTATACGTTTCGACAATAAAATATTCCCAAATATTCTCTGCTCTTCTGAATAGTTTCCTTTCTGATCTTCTTCTGCTTCTCTACTAACATGCTCGACCGCTTTCTCTTCACTGCTGCGACAGCTGGTCCCCTTCTCTGCAAATTGCTCTGTTTAGATATTCAACATTTAAGAATTCCAACACAATTAAAAATTGTCAGGGGTTCGGGACAAAACATGACATAAAGAAACTTTTAATATCATTAAAAGAGTATATTATATATTGATAATACTAGCCAAAGTGTGTTCAGGCCCTCAAAGTGGGGGACACAATATTTTGGGTACAGTTTATCTAAATTATCTGTAAGTCATAACATGAGTTATCAGACGAGAATCATATCACTCACTTATCAATCTTTCAATCTCTTCAGCTCGTTGCATGCAAGACATACAGGTCTAGGTAGGGTAGACCTGATGACTTCTTTAGATTTTATACCCTCATACTAGAATAAGTAGGCGGCACCGTTCTGATATAATATCAGAGCCTTTGCAAAGTTTCCCGCTTTATCGTCTTCGCTTGCTCTCCTCAAAAGTTGAATAGCATTTGGCAGAGTACCCTCTTTCTTCGGGCCTCCTCTGACGTCAGGTTGATTATTACCTGGGCGATGAGAATCCAGTTTTACGATCAGAAATAAATGTTGCCACTACCTTATCTTTCTCTCTAAATCGGTATGTAACCACGTATTCAACGAAATCAAGGTCAATTTTCCTGGCTTAAAAACAATATGAAAATTAAGCGTATTTTTTTACCTGACTGCCCTGCTGTTGCAAGATATAGAAACTCTGAAGTCTGAAGAGGTATCGCCACTGATTTCATGTATTCTAACCAAGGGATGGTTGATTTTGCCATCACCTATTTTAAACAGGAGTTAAGTAAGGTGTTAAATTAGTGAATAAATGGTTTTTTATAAAAATTCGTTAGGAATAGCAGTTATCCCTTTAAGTGAAAACTAGTCTAAAGACGACTAACATTTATATGTTTCAAGAACCACCCTCCAGGCTTTATGCTTTTATCATAAATTTTATGGAAACTTTCATACCCTTGGCCGGAGGACAGGAATATCTTTCGTTAGAAGTTGGAAAATAGCCGCGCTACGACTTACGAGTTATATATTAAACACTATAGTGCACAGATTTAGAATTGGTGGTTTTTTAGAGATTGGTAAGCCAATAAAATACACATACAAATTAATCCAATCATTATCGGACCACATTTAATCGACTCTACGGTCAAAAATACGTTTAGATAAGTAGAGAGTTCCTACCGTATAAAATACGATGAGGTCCTCTATTATTATTATAATAATCAGGAATCTCAACCGCCAATTTTCTAAATTTGCACACTGTTACATTTTACCTGAGAATCTGTCGGTGCAAGATTCACACGATCCAATGTTAGGAGCTACGAGACGAGACAGTGCTGAGCAACTTATTCACGACCTCCCATTGTTTCATATCTTCAAAATTATTTTAATGTTCGATATTTGAGACTTATTTATGATAATTTGCTTATTTAAAAAACATTGTCATTGCATTAGATAACTTCAGGGAAAATTCTAACAGTACTATAACGAAATTTATTTAAACAAAGTCACTCATGGAATGCGATATTTACATTTCACAGGTTTACAAATTCAACTATTCTGGTACATTCGATATGTACAGCACGACAATATTTCAAATTAATTCATCGAATTCGGTGAGGCAAATAAGACACAATATGTTACATAAAGAAATACATTATACATTGAACATTAAACATAACATATCATAAGAACTCGTAGCTGGAGATAAGAGATTGATCTGAAGAGAGATAACTAAGAAAGGGCAAGTGAGATCCGATCATGTGAAAAACTCTAGGACGAAATTTCGTAGTTTAAATTATTCCTAGTGACATGCAGGTAGATGTTAGCATTATATTCCGGCCTATTAGATTAACTAGCTAAACATACGCAACTCCGATCCTGATTAAACTGAGGGTTACCTATAAGTTAATTTCAACAAATAAAGTTTAATTGATTGATATAATATCATGTGATCGATTGTGTAACAGCCTCAGTGCAGCCGTTGTTACAGTTCAACAAACCAGGCCACCAAAAAAGATAATTTACGGTACCACCACAACATGACAATGCCAGGCCGTCACAGGATAACACTTCCAAACTGCCATCACAGAATACCAAGTTGCTATAATACTGTAGCTACAGGATAGAGTGTTATACTGCCATCATAGGATTATAGCACTGTCAGGTTAATGGTGCGTGACCTGGGCAGGACTTTAATTTAATATTTTACAAAACATATGTTCTCCACGAGAAGGGGTTTGTGTTTATGATACATTATGTGGGCCGGCCCGCCAAGTATGTACAGAGTGTTGCGCAGCGCTAACCGGCACTGCGCTGTGTTGCACTGGGCAGCACAAGTCTCAGGAGTTCTCCTCCTCACCCTCAATGTCCTGAACTTGGGTGCTATCCTTCTCTCCCTCCCCAGGTGCAGTGTCGCTGGTCCAGAGCGTCAGATTGTCCCTCAATAGCTGCATAATCAGGGTGCTATCCTTGTACGACTCTTCTGACAGGGAATCTAGCTCTGCTATTGCTTCGTCGAAAGCTGCTTTTGCGAGCCGGCATGCGCGCTCTGGTGAGGCTAAGATTTCGTAGTAGAATACTGAGAAGTTAAGAGCTAGACCTAGACGGATTGGATGAGTTGTTGGTAGTTTTTCCGCGGAAGCATCAGTTGCTAGCTTGTATGACGCAAGTGATTTCTCCGCAGCGTCCTTCCTCTCCGTATTCGTCGTGAACTCAGCTAGATACCTATAGTAGTCACCCTGCATCTTATAATAGAAGGTTTTAGACTCATCTGTCGAGGCATTCTTAATCAGGTACTCGGATAACACGTTAAGTATATCGTCACAAATCTTCTTCAACTCCTTTTCTATTTCCACTCTGTACGCTGAGAGAAATAATCATTTTACAAAAGTTCACTAATATTTTCATATTCTAGACGAGCGTAAACACATGCATGCTGATAAGGTGGCCAGTTTTGTGGCCATAGTCAAAATACATTTCACATTTTTGAGAGTATGTTTTTCAAGAGTTGTGGCTGTAGTCAAAATATATTTCAAATTTTTTAGAGTACGGCAAGTTTCATTTTGATCAATTAATATAATGGTAAAGCTCGACAACCGACAGATTTAATAAGTTATAGTTCTCCCTCAAAGCCTCAATGTCCAAAATACATGGAGAGGTCTAGTTCAGACTAAAATTTTTGTAGATAACTCAGTAACCTACCTGTTGTCACACCTCCTACATTTTTCTTAGCGTCCTCAGTCTCCTTACTTTCCATAGTACTGATAATCCTCCATGAGGCTCTGAGAGCACCGATGACATTCTTGTATGCTACGGAGAGTAGATTCCTTTCTTCTACTGTTAACTCATCACCAAGAGCTGCAACCTGCGATATGACTTATGACATGTCGCATAAGAATAAAATCAACATACATTGCATGGTATGATTCTATAATATAATAATTATGCAGTCATAACAAAATAACAATTTTTATTCGTAGAAAAAAAAAGTAGTGTATTATAGGGAAAAATATTCGTTTTAGTGCTAACCTCTTTCATGCTGGACACCATATCATCATATCTTTCAGCTTGTTCAGCTAATTTAGCCATGTACACATGATCGTCTCTTGAAAACCCGTCAGTCATCTTGACCCTACAAGAAGACTGTTCAGGTTAGAGATTACCGATTGAATTTTGGAATCTGACTTCAAAGTTTTCAGACGAAAAATAGTTAGTCAGGACTTTCGTTTGTCTTTTATTATTTATATCGAGAAAACACAAATATGAATTTTATTGATCTTCTTTAGATAATCTAGTCTAGACAGTTGAAGATTAGTTGAAAAAATAGAGATATCAGCTAATTTGTGAGTCAAATAAGCGAAATATCATAAAATACAATAACAAAATTAAAAAACATATAATACTCTGATAATATGTAATAACGATTGGGAATGGATCACGCTGAGCAGCTGAAATTAAATGAAGCCGAGCATTTAAGTATAGACATGTAAATGGGAGCTATATCAGCGACAAACTTAGATTCAAGATAAAGGAAGGTTTTAACTTCAAGATGGATGTGAACTCCAAAACAGGGATCTTTTAATAAATGCTCATTTAAAGTTATAATTGTTGCAAGGAACAAAGTTTCACTTGGCACCAGATATGTTATCTAAATTTACTTTGGGTACAAAATCTGGAGGAAATAGTTTGTCCCTAGAAGGAAACATTGCCCTGAATGTCTGTTTTATTGTGGTTTCTGCCACTCCAGCCACATCACCAATTTCCTTTGCCGATTTGTCAACATCCATGGCAAGGCAGGTAAAATATATAGCAGCTGCAGCAACAGTTACTGGGACTTTTCCTGCCACTATATCCAAATCAACAGCTTGCCTAGCAACATGAGTAGCAATATTTTGTGCTTTGTGTTCGAGCTCCAGATTTGAACAAAATCTTGACATGAAATCGCCAGTTTTTATAATTTCCACACTGGTATTTAGTGCCCTCAATATCAATTTAAAAGACTTTCCTATTTGCTTTTTGCTGACAGTACAAACAGCACAAATTTCTTTGAAAGTTCTTGTTGCCCCCTCTTGGTTGCAGGCAATATACAAACAGGCAGCACAATTTGCTTCTGTAGATCGACCTCTCAGTGCTTTAGTATCAGTCATATTCTTAAATAAAGTGTTTGCTCTGTCAATTATAGCTTGAGATGCATTGAGTCTATTAGCCATCAATCTTATTTCTCCAAAGGCCTGAACAAGAGCTCTGTCATTTCCTGAAGATAAAATACGATTTGACAAGCGCTGCATCTCATAGTTGTTTCCTGTGGACAGTATAGATGTAGTAAGGTCGCCAGAAAGAAGAGGATTCTCTGCGGCTCCAACTCTGCTGGGATCGTCACCAGTGTCGTCTGCAAATGTTCTCCATTCTGAGCCAACATCGATAACCCTGTCACCAACCACAAGTCCACATTCTGGGCAAACTGTGTCACCTGCCCTGTAATCCTCCACTAATGGAACATTTGGATGAGATGGACAAAACTGTCGTCCCCATGTTGATGTGTTCTTCCGTGACATTTTCTTAATAGGAAGATTGGCAATTATTACAAGTTAATTCATAACAGAAATATGCGACATTTTATGTATGTGGATACAATCATTATATGATTAGCAAATCTTGCAATCAGCGAATTTTGTCTAGCCACGGATTGTGACATCACAGAATTAGTTCAAGGATATGAAACATAATAGGCAATGAAGTATAAGTTAAGACAATTATTTGAAGCTGGGTTTCTCTGCTAACATACTGAACCAAGAGATCTGTGGCAAAATTTGATCCACCCAACTACTGGTTTATTTTGCTGGGATTTTAAGGATTTCTACAAAAATTGAATCAAGTAAAATGATATCAAAGTAACAGATATCAAGTAAAATGATCTATGATCAAATGATATCAAGTATGAGATTAGATAGATTGGGAAAGAGGACCAAACCTATGGTCAATAAGCTTTTTTTAATCTTAAGGTCCCCAGTTACTGAGCCAAAATCCTGGCCAAAATTACAAATTGACCGGAGCCAGGGTAAAAATCATGATCCCGGCCAGGCCGGGATCCTGGTCGGTTCCTGCAATGTACAGTGTATCTCATGACACCTTGGGTTACAGAGCCTGAGACACTACCCAGTTAATGATATATTAAGATGTGGACTGTGGAGTCGGGTTGTTTACAGTATGTTGACTTCTAGTTAGATACAATTCTTAATTACTCTCAAGTTTGTGATATTTTATCGTGAAGTCATGACAATATTCTGTGTTTGAACTGCCACATTGTTTGCACCGCCTAATTCGGGAGTCAGAACGCTGTGCTGAATATTTGCATGTAGCATGATAGCATGTAGATTGATAGGATGAGACGTGTACACCTTAGGCGACTTTGAGCGATACATTCTAATTACAGATTGAAATATGAAGGAATCCTGCACGAACTGAGCAACATATCTCCTTTGTGTTCGACTTCATATCTCTGTTTGGGGCGGTACACATTTTTTCAAACTTCTTAAGATTTTCAAGACAATCCTGGCAAGATTCATCCTTGTGTTTGGTCACATATATCTCATAATCCTTGATCGTAAGTGGCACCAAACCCTCAGAATTTGTAGTATGTATTATGAACTAACTTAATGTGTAAATGTGTAATTTCAATCAAATCTGAATAAAATAATTAATCTTTGGAGATAGCTAGAGTGAGCTATGTTACAGTCCAGCTGTTCGATTTCAGATGCATGGATCACAACAACAATTCTCTACAAGATGCACACTCTACTCTAAAGTATTACTCCTAAATACCTGCCTGCATCTAGGGGTGATTAGGGGAAATTATTTAGTCGTTACTAACTACTGATTGCCATGCAACTTCAGCGCAAAGCCGCATCTTAAAACTTGCAGTGCTGCACTTAAATGACAAACAATTAGTAACTGACTTTTCAAAAGAACACATTTTTACGTTGGATGAAAGAGATAATCAAGCGCAAGGGTGTTAAAAGTGGTCAAGTTCAAAGTTGAATCACATTTACCCATAATGCAATGTTTGTATTAACTGACACGGGATAGATTTAAAATCTCTGTGTTGTGTATAAAATATTTAGTTATCATATTGGTACATTACAGATAGAAAGGTGGAAGGTTGTAATAATATATAATAGTGTAAAGTATGTTAAATATTAGGAAGCTACACATCAGGCCTTAAGGCCACAGGGGGGGGGGTCCGAGGTCAATTTTGAGATTTTGAGATATGTTGTAGAGCTCGATCTAAATTTTCAAATGCTTTTGTCCTTACCGAAAACAAAGTTTCCTATTTGAAGATATCGCGCGTTGAATTTTGAGGTTTACCTGTAATTCTATTGTAAATGAAAACTTTAAATGCAATTGTGTTCAAAATCTATCTTCTTTTTTAGTTTATGACTTAGAACCTTGTAACTTGGCAACAATGTTCTTAAAGGTATTTTGAGTTTTTGTTATGTAACGATTTATGATATCTTGCTCCAAAGCTGAGATATGAGGTTAACCATGAGTGAGAATTACAAAATTTACAAAATTTAAAATGGTTAACCTCATAAAAAGAGTTAGGAGCAAAATTACAACAATCGTTACATAACAAACTTTTAAATTTATGTCAGGAACATAAGTTCCAAATTTGAGGTGAAATGGATAAAAGCTCTAGGAGAAGATAGGTTTTTGAGGTGGTAAATAAATTGTTCAGGAGAGTCAAAAGACCATGATTCTGAGAAAATATGTTAACCTTAATTTTCCAACAAATAAAGGACATATAATAGTTCTGTTCACATTGGATGGCCAATTGATACCCATTGATAAGTTTAACTTGTGATGAGAGCAACAAAATGTTAAGAACTGGTTATTTGTGAGGTTAACTGATTAAAAAGGCAATAGTTAACCTCTATTTTACGACAAACTAGGCGCTCTGGGGGGCTAAGGGTGGTGTGCAAGCGTCAGATAGTACGTGGTCTGCCAACTGGCAAAAAACTTTTTTTCGACCTCGGACCCCCCCCCCCCCCCCCCCCCCTGTGGCCTTAACAGAAGGCCTTTCTATAGGATTGTGGATCTTGTAATGGCATCTTTCGGTACAATTTAAAGGGAACATAAGTAAAATGTTTATTCTATAAGTTACATTGGAGTGTACTGAAAAATCTATAGAATTGTGAATCATGAATTACCTCTTGGAGAGGAGAAAAGAATATTTTCAGATTAATTTGACTCACCAGAATGATCGGACACGTGATTGAGGGTTCAATGAAGAGGTACCTGCCAAATGATCAAGATTTTCTAGGGATACCCCTTCAGTACATAAAGATTGTAGAGAACTTGACTGTTAACAAAGAACTATAGCATAGCAATATACAATGTTACTGCAGTGCCATACAATACTGTACTATACAACATGGTAAACTATCGTTATTGTGCACCACACCCTTTTGACATAGTATTGCAGATATCCCTCTCTCTAGCCACACATTGGCATCTCGAACATATTACTGATTCCCAAGAAATAGCAACACGATCTTGGGTGAGACATGGAAAAGAAAGTAAAGCAAATGACAGTGATGTAAATTGAATAAATATCTGGTATTTCTCGAATATTATACTCAGTGAAACAATAAGTTTTAAGTTTAAGATTGTAGCTTCTTTAAATTATTTGTATTCTTATTGTATTGCTGTGTTAATCTATACTAATAATCTTAATAAATGTGTGTCTGTCTGTAGTTTACGAATGGTTAACTAGAGAAATCGGTAGGAGATATGGAACTGGTTTTATCGGTATAGTGCCGACAAAACTCTGACGAAGCCAAAGGATACAAGGATACAAGGATACAAGGATACAAGGATACAAAAGTGATAATTACTTTATTGAGTACACAATAGTTGTAATTCTGAAATAATTTAAGTTACACAATTCTAATTATTTACAAGTGTGTAGGGATAATTTAGAAATGTTATATAATGCTAGTTTTAGAAAAATAGATAAATCGAGTTTGTATGGTTCAATCTTATTTCAAGGTCCTATAGCATTATGCACTTGCCAGTATTTGAGTGGAAATCTGGGCTCTTATAATAGGCTGTATAATTTTCGTTCACAGAGAGAATTGAATGGATTGCTCTTGCTGTGGCAGTGAGTGTGGTAGGATCTAGAGTTTTGTTGGAGAGCAAACCGACTAGGTCAGTAATGTTTAGGGGATGGAAATTGAATTTTTCCCTAACTGAGGAGTAGAGCAAACAGTCAATCAATACGTGACTTTCGTCCTCAATAGGCTTTAGCCCTTTGCTGAAAAAGCAGTAGGTGCACCAACGTTCTTCTCTTGGTACAAGGGGGGTTTCATATCTGCCCCTTTCGATGTAGAGGTTGTGGCAGCTGATACGAAACCTTGTCAGACTTTTTCGAACATCCGGTATTTTGATAATTCGTAGGTATGCCTCTGGTTCGAAATCATGTTTAATTAAGTTATAGAATTCTAGTTTTGGCGAGGAGGCCTTGGCAGCTTTCCAGGTATTCACGAATTCTTCCCTCATGTTATGACTGATTTGGGTGGAGAGCTTAGATTTTGAGGAAGATGAGGGGGTGAAGTTGTATTTGGTGAGAAGCTTTGAGATGTTGGTATACCAAGGAAGTCCCAACATGATTTGTTCGTGAAATGCAGCACAGAGTAGTTCGTTTTCAGTGTTTTCAAGGCGACTATAGTAATCTATTGCAAGTTTGCAGGCTTCAAAGAATAGAGGGTGGCGCCCGCTTTCGCCCCAGCAACCTATATTTGATGCTTTTGAATGTACAGACAAAGACCACTTGATAAACTTTAGGTGGAATTTTTAAATGATTAAGGTTTTTCAAATCGGTCGGTTGCCTATTAAGTATTACCATTCGAGTATTAGATATGTGTGGGGCATTCAGAATAAAATTGCGGTGTGTTTGGACTGGGCAAGTTCATACCTTCACATCGTTTTAACTTCGAAAACCTTTACTCCACTTATATACTCAACAAATGGCGGATGGGGTCCACAAGCCACAAGATACCACAAGAGACTCGCTGAAAAACTATCCCAGAAGAGAGGAGAAGACTATGCGGCTATTATGTGTTACATGCGCACCAGGATTAGATTCTCAATCCTCAGGAGCACCCTGATAGCGGTCAGGGGTGAGAGAGGGAGACGGCAATCGTATACATTGCCAGTCAGTGTAACTTCGTTTAACTTGATACCTGCCACCATGGACTATGAATGTTTCTAGACACTATCCTTTTGATATTGAGATATTGGTATTTCAGATCACGTGTACATCGTTCCTTTTTTTACGACACAGTAATTTATTGACACTCACAGCTATAATTTTAATCATTGAATCAGTATTTTTATCTGTGCTCTGCGAATGCATCACATGAATCAGTTTTTTAATCTATTAACTTATTACACATTTGTGCTCTGCTTTAGCATCACTTGACTATTTAAAAAAAATTGTTTGTTCAGGCCATGACCTTATAGTCAGCCAATTGGCCATTGCTATATTATGTGTATATTGTTTGAATATTCTTTAACTTCGAAAATGTAATGCGTTTTTAGAATACAATAGGCGGGTTTATACTTTTGCATTTCAACTACGATAGTGAAGTCCCGGCCGTAGGCACGTGTTACACTAGTATGATTATAATACGGACTTTTATTGTCTGTTGGACAGTTTGTGAAGCTGCACTG